CTAACACTATTAGCAGTACTTATATTAACTTTTCTAACACTATCAGCAGTACTTATATTAACATTTCTATCACTATCAGCAGTACTTATATTAACTTTTCTAACACTATTAGCAGTACTTATATTATACATTTCTAACACTATTAGCAGTACTTATATTAACTTTTCTAACACTATCAGCAGTACTTATATTAACTTTTCTAACACTATTAGCAGTACTTATATTAACTTTTCTAACACTATCAGCAGTACTTATATTATACATTTCTATCACTATCAGCAGTACTTATATTAACTTTTCTAACACTATCAGCAGTACTTATATTAACTTTTCTAACACTATTAGCAGTACTTATATTAACTTTTCTAACACTATCAGCAGTACTTATATTAACTTTTCTAACACTATCAGCAGTACTTATATTAACTTTTCTAACACTATCAGCAGTACTTATATTAACTTCTCTAACACTATCAGCAGTACTTATATTATACATTTCTAACACTATTAGCAGTACTTATATTAACTTCTCTAACACTATCAGCAGTACTTATATTAACTTTTCTATCACTATTAGCAGTACTTATATTAACTTTTCTAACACTATTAGCAGTACTTATATTAACTTTTCTAACACTATCAGCAGTACTTATATTAACTTTTCTAACACTATTAGCAGTACTTATATTAACTTTTCTATCACTATCAGCAGTACTTATATTAACTTTTCTAACACTATTAGCAGTACTTTTATTAACTTTTCTAACACTATTAGCAGTACTTATATTAACTTTTCTAACACTATCAGCAGTACTTATATTATACTTTTCTAACACTATTAGCAGTACTTATATTAACTTTTCTAACACTATTAGCAGTACTTATATTAACTTTTCTAACACTATTAGCAGTACTTATATTAACTTTTCTAACACTATTAGCAGTACTTATATTAACTTTTCTAACACTATTAGCAGTACTTATATTAACTTTTCTATCACTATCAGCAGTACTTATATTAACTTTTCTAACACTATTAGCAGTACTTATATTAACTTTTCTAACACTATTAGCAGTACTTATATTAACTTTTCTAGCACTATTAGCAGTACTTATATTAACTTTTCTAACACTATTAGCAGTACTTATATTAACTTTTCTAACACTATCAGCAGTACTTATATTAACTTTTCTAACACTATTAGCAGTACTTATATTAACTTTTCTAACACTATTAGCAGTACTTATATTATACATTTCTAACACTATTAGCAGTACTTATATTAACTTTTCTAACACTATCAGCAGTACTTATATTAACTTTTCTAACACTATCAGCAGTACTTATATTAACTTTTCTAACACTATCAGCAGTACTTATATTAACTTTTCTAACACTATTAGCAGTACTTATATTAACTTTTCTAACACTATTAGCAGTACTTATATTAACTTTTCTAACACTATCAGCAGTACTTATATTAACTTTTCTAACACTATTAGCAGTACTTATATTAACTTTTCTATCACTATCAGCAGTACTTATATTAACTTTTCTAACACTATTAGCAGTACTTATATTAACTTTTCTAACACTATTAGCAGTACTTATATTAACTTTTCTAACACTATTAGCAGTACTTATATTAACTTTTCTAACACTATTAGCAGTACTTATATTAACTTTTCTAACATTATTAGCAGTACTTATATTAACTTTTCTAACACTATTAGCAGTACTTATATTAACTTTTCTAACATTATTAGCAGTACTTATATTAACTTTTCTAACACTATTAGTAGTACTTATATTAACTTTTCTAACACTATTAGTAGTACTTATATTAACTTTTCTAACACTATTAGCAGTACTTATATTAACTTTTCTAACACTATTAGCAGTACTTATATTAACTTTTCTAACATTATTAGCAGTACTTATATTAACTTTTCTAACACTATTAGCAGTACTTATATTAACTTTTCTAACACTATTAGCAGTACTTATATTAACTTTTCTAACACTATTAGTAGTACTTATATTAACTTTTCTAACACTATTAGCAGTACTTATATTAACTTTTCTAACACTATTAGTAGTACTTATATTAACTTTTCTATCACTATTAGCAGTACTTATATTAACTTTTCTAACACTATTAGCAGTACTTATATTATACATTTCTAACACTATTAGCAGTACTTATATTAACTTTTCTAACACTATTAGCAGTACTTATATTAACTTTTCTAACACTATTAGCAGTACTTATATTAACTTTTCTAACACTATTAGTAGTACTTATATTAACTTTTCTAACACTATTAGCAGTACTTACTACTTATATTAACTTTTCTATCACTATTAGCAGTACTTATATTAACTTTTCTAACACTATTAGTAGTACTTATATTAACTTTTCTAGCACTATTAGCAGTACTTATATTAACTTTTCTAACACTTTTAGCAGTACTTATATTAACTTTTCTAACATTATTAGCAGTACTTATATTAACTTTTCTAACACTATTAGCAGTACTTATATTAACTTTTCTAACACTATTAGCAGTACTTATATTAACTTTTCTAACACTATTAGCAGTACTTATATTAACTTTTCTAACACTATTAGCAGTACTTATATTAACTTTTCTAACACTATTAGCAGTACTTATATTAACTTTTCTAACACTATTAGCAGTACTTATATTAACTTTTCTAACACTATTAGCAGTACTTATATTAACTTTTCTAACACTATTAGCAGTACTTATATTAACTTTTCTAACACTATTAGCAGTACTTATATTAACTTTTCTAACACTATTAGCAGTACTTATATTAACTTTTCTAACATTATTAGCAGTACTTATATTAACTTTTCTAACACTATTAGCAGTACTTATATTAACTTTTCTAACACTATTAGCAGTACTTATATTAACTTTTCTAACGGATTATTGCTTGATGAGTATTACTACTACTGTATATATATAATACAGGCTACTCAAATCACAATTATGACAAGTAACCAGCTACTCGAAATAGTTTTTCTGAATAACTGAAAGTTATCTTGTAACCGTCTGCTACAATCTACTAACTTCACAGTTTCTCATATCCGATAACTACTAGTGGTAGTAGTAATAGTAGTAGTAGTAGTGCAGCTTGATATGCAGGGATTTAGAAGGTGTTAGGAAGTAGGAGTGTTCCTGCACAGGGGGGGTGCACAGTGCACAGTGCACATTGTGCTGAACAGCGTTGTGGAAATTTGCAGGATTAGCCTTGAAAGTACAGATGCATTTGCAGAATTCAGGGTCAAATGGTCAGTTTAAATTAAAGTCTAATATCTTGGCAGATTATAAGGGATTAGCCTGTAACCCCCTCTAGCAGCTCTTAGTACGTGTCACGTGATGAGTAATACAAATAGAGTAGGGATTATACTCATTGAGTATAATCCCTACTCTATTTCTACATCCTGCATATCCTCCTCTACATATACCCAGTTCCTCCTCCATTCTCTTCTCTCTTGTACACCGGTATTTGCTCCCCACACTGGTATTTACTCTGTGGCGAGATATTGTAGGGAGAAACCTCACTAGTATTCTTTGATCGTTTGCTCGTGTTCTGTTTTTTTTGAGTTCTGGAACAGTTTCGGTTGTTTGTTTGAAGGAGAGTGTTGATTGGGTTCCAAGTGAATACCGGCTCCAGCTGGTATCGGTTATAAACACCACCAAGTGCTGTAATTACTTAGTAATTACTAGCGTAGTGCGGTTTCTAAACGTAGACAGGTCAATATTGACGCAAAAACTTTAATCATTTGATCTCTCGAGTCTCAAAGTTTTTACTCTCTCGAGTCGTCTTGTTCTGGTTGAAATGTTTTGCTCGGGTTATTGGAGTAGTCATTAGCTTTAAAGTTTCCATTTTAGCTTTAAAGTTTCCATTTTAAGTCTCTTTATTGTAAGTTTGTCAGTTGGAACTAGGCTGGTATAATTTTCCCGCCAAAAGGAAAACACCGACTAGCACTACTTATCCGACATGTAACGGTTTTGTTGAGGTTTCAGGGTTCACTTTAAAACGAGAGTAACCGCTGGCACCTGTATTAACATGTATTTAGATGTGATCTAATACTATCTGGTTACTGATGTCTTGTTAATGAGGGAGGAAGTTCCGTGGTGTTTACTATCAAGAAACCATCACAGAAACAATATATGCGATTTGTTACTTGTTTTTCAATTTTTTAAGTCATCAGCTCTGATTATCTGCTGGATTACTTTCTAGCTGGGTAATGTACCAGATTCTTTGAAAACCTATTTGGTAACCTATTTGATAACATATTTGGTAACCTATTTGGTAACCTATTTGGTAACCTAATTAGTAACCTATTTAGTAACCTACTTAGTAATCTACTTAGTAACCTACTTAGTAACCTACTTAGTAACCTACTTAGTAACTTGTCTAACTGTAACGGGGTACTCAGCTATGAAGAAGAGCTGGTCGCTAGGTCGACTAAACTTCAATGTTCGAATCCCCGGCTGCTCTGGTGGTAGTGAAGGTAAGAGTAAGGGCAAGAGTCCCAAGAAGAAAAAGAACGTCCGGAGGAGTGTGTCTCTAAATGTGAAGCGGGCTAAAACCAACATTGTCAAGTGTCACAGCATGATCAAGATGTGAGTTAGGAGAGCTTCTGTTTAAAGCGGAAGAGGAAAATACTTTATTTCTAAAAATATCAAACACATAATATTTCATTCACTCAAGATAATTTTATCACGATACCTTATATGGGCATCACGTGGAGAAAAGAATGGTTTATTTACTAGAGCTCTAATTTATCTCTCTGTGATTACAGGAACTTTAAATTAAAAACTCGTGCTAACGTGTTATGTTACTTATTTGGTAACTAATTTGGTAACTAATTTGGTAACTAATTTGGTAACTAATATGGTAAATAATTTGGTAACTAATTTGGTAAGCAATTTGGTAACTAACGTGTTACCTCCCCCAGGTCAGGTCCAGGTAGAAGAAGTTTAGCGAGTGCTGTTTCAACAGAGAGCGGTATACACATGGGTAGTGACCATGACACCATCACCCTTAATACTGGTGAGTTACTTACTTATTTGATAACTAATTTGATAATTTATTTGATAACTTAAGTAACTGTTTAATACTGGTCAGACACGTAGCTTCTTATCTTTATTTTAGTATTGGTTAATATCTTTTTACAGTTCGGCCTTTATCTATAGGGTAGCGTATATTTATTTTATAAAATTAACATGACTTGCATCATTTGGAAAATTAAATCACCCAAAAAGCAAAAGTGGTGCAAAAATAAAAGTGGTTGTAATATCTAAAAATAAATATGTGCAGCCTCGCCCACTGTAACCTAAAATAAACTTTATCGTGTTGTTGTTATGGTAACTTGTTGTTGTTATGGTAATGTCACGGGCCCATATAGGGATAATTCAGAGGGGAGGATACCTTTATTTAATCATAAATATCTTTATAGTATTATTATAATCATTAAATATAGGATATTCAGAATTTAAGGTGCGGCAGTTTATTCTTTTTGAAATTAGAATATTCTATACTATCACTTACATCACTATAAATATCATATATACTATAAATTAAAGGCGTATTTTCTAACTTTAACAGAACGCATCATGAGAGCTGTAAATTCTTGACATTAGTAATATAATGGTCGCGACTCAATAGTTCCTTCAAAGAATGACTAAATACTAATTACACATACCTGAGAGTTAAGGAATCTGAGTTGAGGAATCTAAAGTTACAAAATGTAACAAAAATTGCGTCACTCATTAGTCAAAGTCATCCGAAATTCCAAAACCCGTGAAATATTTGCATTGTGGAGTCTCGTACCCTAATGACGTACCTTGAATTATATATAGTTACATATAATTATTATAATAATATTATGTTATTTTCATGTTAAGTTGCGCCCGCATATATTGGATTAGAACTATTATAGTTAGTCTCCTAAATCTACTGAGGTGCCCCCCATTATTATAGGATTAGTTTAATTACATTTTCTATATCCGGTTTAGTCCGTGCTTTGTTTCTCGGTTTTGTTTGTTTGTCTGTTTGTTTGTTTGTTTGTTTGTCTGTTTGTTTGTTTGTTTGTTTGGGGTTTGTCTGCTTCAACTTGCACCTTGTACCTTATAGAATAATTCTATTGGAATAATGCTGTGGGAAACACCCGTGAATGTGTTCAGCTATAACTGTATTCGTTGTGTTTATGTCGTATTTGTTTTCTCGAAAGTAGAACAAAAACTATCTGAATTGTTTTTTCTTTGTTTGTAAACACGAAACATGCTAAGTTTTATATTGTCAAGTACATGAGTATACAATTCACTGTTACTTTTGTGATGTAAACTACTTATGATTATTAGTCGATGTATCAATTGTGCAACAACCTCAAAATTCGATAAAAATTTACAAAAGTATCGGTTAAAAGTATCATTGATAATATTGTTTAGAACTTAGTTTATAAGTGCCTTCCTAGTAATGGCCAAGCGTTTGGGTAGACAGTTTATTAGTTGACATGTTAACCCCACTAATTAGTTAATGAGTTAATTAACCCCACTAACTGGTTAATGAGTTAATTAACCCCACTAATTAGTTAATGAGTTAATTAACCCCACTAATTAGTTAATGAGTTAATTAATCCCACTTTATTGTAGCTGGGGGAGACCAGCTGATAATGCAGACAAAGAAGCTGACTAAGATGATAAAGAACGTGAGAAGGTCTCACTCTTATAACGTGTGTGATGCTAACAAGACCAACCTCAAACACAGGTAACAGCTCAAATTATGTGTTGAAAATATGTTGAATTGTTGAATATGTTAAAATTCTGCAATGTTGATCACATTGCTCCTACTGGATCAACCATCTTGTTAAACTGGTGTGTACCAACATAGTACCAGCATCTGCCAGTAACTCCGAGTAGTTCTATCTGTTCACTTCTGGTGGCAGGGAGGGTTTCTGACCTGGAGCACTGCGAGGGTGGGGTGACTAATAATACGTGTAGATACATGTAGTGTGATTACTGATTCACCCCATTGTAATAATGCGGGTTGAGGGTCCTAGTCACGGCGTAGTATCCGTCTTAACTTGGATTCTTTACAAATACGATCGTCTTTATTCTGTTTGTTATAGAACTGTAAACTAGTAAGTATAATAGAGGTGGTGAGTATAGGGCAGGGAGGTGTAGGGAGGTGTAGGGAGGTGTAGGGAGGTGTAGGGAGGTGTATGGAGGTGCAGGGAGGTGTAAGGAGGTGTAGGGAGGTGCAGGGAGGTGTAGGGAGGTGCAGGGAGGTGAAGGGAGGTGTATGGAGGTGTAGGGAGGTGTTAGGAGGTGTAGGGAGGTGAAGGGAGGTGTAGGGAGGTGTAGGGAGGTGCAGGGAGGTGTAGGGAGGTGTTAGGAGGTGCAGGGAGGTGTAGGGAGGTGTAGGGAGGTGTATGGAGGTGCAGGGAGGTGTAAGGAGGTGTAGGGAGGTGCAGGGAGGTGTAGGGAGGTGCAGGGAGGTGAAGGGAGGTGTATGGAGGTGTAGGGAGGTGTTAGGAGGTGTAGGGAGGTGAAGGGAGGTGTAGGGAGGTGTAGGGAGGTGTAGGGAGGTGTAGGGAGGTGTTAGGAGGTGCAGGGAGGTGTAGGGAGGTGTAGGGAGGTGCAGGGAGGTGTAGGGAGGTGTAGGGAGGTGTAGGGAGGTGTTAGGAGGTGCAGGGAGGTGCAGGGAGGTGTAGGGAGGTGTAGGGAGGTGTATGGAGGTGTAGGGAGGTGTAGGGAAGTGTAGGGAGGTGCAGGGAGGTGTAAGGAGGTGTAGGGAGGTGCAGGGAGGTGCAGGGAGGTGTAGGGAGGTGTAGGGAGGTGCAGGGAGGTGAAGGGAGGTGTATGGAGGTGTAGGGAGGTGTTAGGAGGTGTAGGGAGGTGAAGGGAGGTCAGAGGTGTAGGGAGGTGTAGGGAGGTGTAGGGAGGTGTAGGGAGGTGTAGGGAGGTGTTAGGAGGTGTAGGGAGGTGCAGGGAGGTGTAGGGAGGTGTAGGGAAGTGTAGGAAGGTGTAGGGAGGTGAGTACTACAAGTGTAGGGTAGAAAAAAGCTAATAAAAGAATTCTTGGTACGGAGAAGTACAATACACTGAGTGTATTGTTTAGAAATTAGAGTGTTTTGTACAGTGTACACTCTGAACACTTTCCCGCGCAATATGCCGGTCGTATCTCCAGAGAATTAAACTGGTTGAAGTACCGAGCACTACAATCAAACATATGACCATATAAGGGCACGTCATAAAAATGTGCAGCTTGAGGCATTAAGTCACTCTCTCAACAGGTCTTAATACGTGTTGATTTGGTTCAAAACTTTTCTACAACTTCGTTATTATATTCATGACGACAGTTGTCATGACGACCGCGCGCTAACCCCGTGCCCCGCAAACACTCGCATCATTTTCATACCTTCTGTCCCATTACTCAACACTATCTGATACGGGCTTCCGGGTCTTACAATTAATGTGGAATTTGCTTACAGAGACCTTGTTCGGAATTATGTAACACCGCCGAGAGTTACTTACTTGCTATTAGTAACCGGTGATGTTGGGATTCTCGGTCGACTTAATAAAAGGAAAACTTGTAACTGATAAACCCTAGTAGATCAGAGAGAGAGAGAGAGAGAGAGAGAGAGAGAGAAAGAGTGAGAGAGAGAGAGAGAGAGAGAGAGAGAGAGAGAGAGAGAGAGAGAGAGAGAGAGAGAGAGAGAGAGAGAGAGAGAGAGAGAGAGAGAGAGAGAGAGAGAGAGAGAGAGAGAGAGAGAGAGAGAGAGAGAGAGAGAGAGAGAGAGAGGAGAGAGAGAGAGAGAGAGAGAGAGAGAGAGAGAGAGAGAGAGAGAGAGAGAGAGAGAGAGAGAGAGAGAGAGAGAGAGAGAGAGAGAGAGAGAGAGAGAGAGAGAGAGAGAGAGAGAGAGAGAGAGAGAGAGAGAGAGAAAGGGAGAGAGAGGGAGGGAGAGAGAGGGAGAGAGAGGGAGAGAGAGAGAGAGAAGTGTCGTATATTATTCTATATTATGGTATATTCGAATATGCTTTATAACTTACTTTCTCTATGTATCTTTAACTTTTTGTACAGCTTTCTTAACGTTATTGTAAAAACTAACTCGTCGTTGTTGTAACCCGCCTGTAGTATACTAGATTTATAGAATTTACTAGAATTATACAGTACTTGAAAGTCGGCTTAAACCCCACGTGATGCATATATAAGGTAATGCTGAAAGTCGGCTTGCGTTTCAAGTCTTGTCTGGGGTGCACTGAATCGTGAGATAACAAGTCTCCCCGTCTCTTTTCTAGTCAGCTCACTGAATAAACTCTACCACAGAATCGCACGATCCATTTAAACATGATAGCTTTAATCTGGGTATCTTGATTAAGTTTTGGCAACTCTGTCTTTTGTTGTGACCTATTTACAGCCCCCATACCTTGATGTTAGTGCTATTAATATAACTGTTGTATCCTACTGAATTATATAAAGGGGGGTGTTAGAGGGCAAGTGTAGGCTATTGTTCTGAAAAGTGTTAAGTAAGGATTAGCGTGATCTCTGAGGGGGATATACTTGGTCACTGTGTGTTAACTTTAAGTCTAGAGTGGTGGGTCACAACTCAGAGTGGGGAGGGTCAGATAACCAGATAGTGGTTAAATACCGTGACAAATTTGAAACCACTTTGAAATGACGTGACAAATATAGAATAGTTAAGTAGCTAGTTCCTCTTCACTAAAGGAAAATCTAAATTAAAAGACTGTTTTACACTGACTCACGCTCACTCGAGTATTGTAACTTCTTCTTTTGTCACGTCTCACACTAACCACTGTTAAAGACGCACTGAGATGTGTCAACTTCTTAGTAATCTACATTTTATGTAGAATTAAATTAAATAAAACCACAAGTAGTTTGTAGCAGGTCAGCATGTAAAGTTTTACTATTTTATATGTTAAGTTGCGTGACTGAGTCCCCCAAGTTTATAGTTTTGCATGATCACGGACATGTCCACAAGCTGTGAGTTCCACTGGAGTGAGAAGCAGACTTGTTGGACGTGAAGTGGGCTTGAAGAGTAGAGTGTAGCTGTAAAGTACTCATGAAGAATGGTAGTTAGGAGTGAACAGGGGTGGCTACAACTCTCTAATCATCTTATCATAGTCGCTATTGTATATTATATTATATTGGCTCTCTTCCAATGATAAGTTTAAAGTTTATAGGAAAAAACACAGCCCGGTCTCCTGGAGCTACAAGTTGTTGACTCAGTGACTTTGTTACCAACCAACGTGCCCTATGTTGCCTAGCAACGTGCCCTATATTACCTAGCAACGTGCCCCATGTTGCTTGGCTAGGTACCCTTTGTTGGCTGCTACCTTTGAGAGAAAGTGCCCGTTCTGACGGACAGGTGACTCTGAAATATCAGTGAAAAGTAGGACTGTTGATGTGAAGAAGCTGAAATAAATGTGATATTAGTTTTTAAACACGTTTCCCAGACGTGTTACTGAGAATTACAGATTTAGAGACAGAACGCAGTCTATATACTGTCTGGAGACACTGGAGAGACACTGTTACCATGGCAACACTGTTACCATGGCAACACTGTTACCATGGCAACACTGTTACCATGACAACACTGTTACCATGGCAACACTGTTACCATGGCAACACTGTTACCATGGCAACACTGTTACCATGGCAACACTGTTACCATGACAACACTGTTACCATGGCAACACTGTTACCATGACAACACTGTTACCATGACAACACTGTTACCATGGCAACACTGTTACCATGACAACACTGTTACCATGACAACACTGTTACCATGGCAACACTGTTACCATGACAACACTGTTACCATGACAACACTGTTACCATGGCAACACTGTTACCATGGCAACACTGTTACCATGGCAACACTGTTACCATGACAACACTGTTACCATGACAACACTGTTACCATGACAACACTGTTACCATGGCAACACTGTTACCATGGCAACACTGTTACCATGACAACACTGTTACCATGGCAACACTGTTACCATGGCAACACTGTTACCATGGCAACACTGTTACCATGGCAACACTGTTACCATGGCAACACTGTTACCATGACAACACTGTTACCATGGCAACACTGTTACCATGACAACACTGTTACCATGGCAACACTGTTACCATGGCAACACTGTTACCATGGCAACACTGTTACCATGGCAACACTGTTACCATGGCAACACTGTTACCATGGCAACACTGTTACCATGGCAACACTGACAACACTGTTACCATGACAACACTGTTACCATGGCAACACTGTTACCATGACAACACTGTTACCATGGCAACACTGTTACCATGACAACACTGTTACCATGACAACACTGTTACCATGGCAACACTGTTACCATGACAACACTAAGACACTTCCAGCATAGTACCAGCTTTATAGGAGACGTCTCTATCAGTGCCAACTTGGTAGTGTCTTAAGTGTTGTCATGGTAACAGCACACTGATAAGACCGTTATTCAATCCTCACATTCTTGCTAATCCTGTTCCCAAAACAACAAACAATGATCACTAACTTTGTGTGTGTGTCACTAATTCCGCAAATCAACAATTTTAACATATCTAAACCTCAGTCCCCTAATTATTTCCTTTCCTCGTGCGCTTTAGCAGCTCTGTAAACACTCTTAATTAAATAATGAAGTTCACAATATCTTAACATCTTAGTAAAACTAATAATAGCTCATCTTCTAATGTGTCTCCACACCAGCTTTCAAGACGCCTCAACTGCCTATTAAACTAAGTCACACTGATCATAAACAGGTAGTCTTGCTCCATATTCAGATATCCGCACAGGTTTACCTTTGTCACATCCTAACATCACACTAACTCGTACTAACTACAAGCAGGTAGTCACACCAACATCACACTAACCACTAAATAGAAACACCATCCTGTCTATCTCACTAATAACACACCCAACTAATAGCTAGATAGGTTAATACACCTCACTATCCCAACTATTGTAAACTTCACACAATCCCTATTATAGTTGCTGCACGGAAACTCAGATTAACTGCACGCTTCACAACAAGGGGGGCCACTCGTTACTTACCCTAAAATGCCCAAAACAGGTGGAAACCCCCTCCCTCCCCCGCCTGGTGGCAGGTTACTTTCGTTTAACGAGCAGAGTGGTTACAGAGCGTATCGCACTGTGTTGTTTTGATAACCGTGTAGTTTCACACCTACTTCAGCGCTGTTGTTGTAAGCAGAGTATCTGGCTAACGTAAACAAGACGCTGTGATATGTATCTTACATCATCCAGCACATGTCACAGCCTCATTATACACATTAGTTAATTAACTTTTCCAATGATATTCACACTCGTGCGAGGAAGAGAGGGTTTCAGTACCACACTGGAAGTAGTAAGTACTAAGTAGCGACTCTTCACGTGATGTCCATATAAGGTAATACCACCCTGGAAGTAGTAAGTACTAAGTGGCGGCCTTCCTTGAACCTAGAACCTGCTAAGTACTGAAACCTTGTGTTGAACTTATCCTCTGATAAGATGAGTAGGCAGCACCTGAACTTAACCTAAAGCTAAAACCTGAATTATAGAGAGGGAAACTGACATCTACTCAGGATAATCCTGTAGTTGTCATGGATACAGTAGTACTTTAGTTGTCATGACTACTAGTTGTACTTGAGTTTGTAGCTCGTACTGGCTAGCACCGTCACAGAGTACTTACAAATACTACTTACTTATGGCATCCCTTTCAGTATATATGGAGGAGTATTCTTACAAGTGAGAAATTTCAAATTATTGTCGTAGAAAATATCCTTCAGATTCTAGATTATTCCAGAATAGAAGAAAATAACATATAAATTAAATTGTAATCAACAACTTACAAATTTTAAATAATTTCCTGACGTTAGGCAGATCCTTCAATCTCCCTCCCCGTTCAGCCTCCCTCTTCATTATCAGTCAGCACCTCATTTTGAGGCAACACCGGCTCTAAGACCGAGCACGGTTTAATTTTTCCCGTTTGTGCTTTTTTGTGCCGCCTACTCTGCTGTTCCAGCATAACATAGTATCCATGAGGTTTTCAAACTCAAATGGAAACGATTGGCATATTGCAGTTTATCATAGTCGATCTGTTAATGTTACTCATAAAAACTTTAACTTTTTATAACTTATAATAATTAGTAACTAATTACCCACATTCTAACAGGAGGGCAGTGCGACCCAAGAGTTTAGTCCATGGTTGGGAAGAGTCCTCAATCTCAGTGGAGGAGTTATACTTGTGGCAGAGTCAACTGAAGCAGCTCCATCTCTTGAACAAGCAGACTAGTGATCTTCACATCGCTAAATCTAAAGCTATGACTAAGGTAGGCTTAAGAGAGGTTCTTGTGTTTTATCGAGTTTAGACCTTTAGTTTTAAATGTTTAGAAGATTTAGGTGGATTATATGTATCATGAGATTTTGATTTTTGGAGAAACTGACCAACTTTATGGTTTTATTTCAACATCTTGAGCCTAGGTCTGGTTTTGGGGAGGAAATTTAAAAGTTTGGGTCTTCGTATTTTACTGCTCTTAAAACTTTGAAGGTTTTTAACTGTCAACTTTTAAAATTTTATTTTCCCAACCCTCGTTTTAAAAGTATCGAATTTCAGCCGCTAACCAAATTACCATGGTAAACTAACCAAATTGTCACAACATTTACCCTCAGCCAACGGATGTTGATGAATATTGTTAAAAACTTGGTAAAATTAACATGTAACGATAGCGTGTAATTATTTTACATAATATTTATGTAATGCTAAAGTAAAATTTGTGCAGTTCTATTACAGTTCTAATGTAACACTTACATGTAATATTTGGAAATGATATGATACTACTCACAGTATGCCTATAAAAACTGTAACATTGGTGCAGGTACCCAAGAAAGAGAGTCTGCGAGAGAAAGCTAAGACCCTTATCAGGGGTCTGAAGACGAAGAGGGCTCTGAAGAACAAGGGGAGTATGTCAAGTTCCTGTACTGAGGATGATCCTGACAGCACCTCTAGTTCCCTTGACAGGTACTAATCCAGTTAATGTACTTCCTGGAGAGTTTTACCCATTGATGTCTAACTTCTGGACTGTGTAACTCTGTGTAACTTTATTCTAGAATATCAGCTGTTTGTTGATTATTTATTGTTCCTGAGCGGTGCAGAGAGTGAAAATCACCATTGAATGATCTGAACCCATCTAGAAAGTGAAAATACTGAGTAAAATATCACGTGTAGGGTTCAGGTCTAGTTTCAAATAGATCACGTGTTGTTAGGCTCTTCATCACGTGTTATAACAAAGTCTTTCTGTTGTCGTCCTCACCGAGTCCATTAACCCTAAAATTAGGTGAACACGTCGTTAATTTGAGAAAACTTTGATCTGATCTTGTTGATAAAGTTAAGGTATAAGTAAGTAGTCCCACTTGTCAGTAGTTAGTAAGTGTTTTCTCTCTCAGTAGTTAGTAAGTAGTCCCACTTGTCAGTAGTTAGTAAGTGTTTTCTCTCTCAGTAGTTAGTAAGTAGTCCCACTTGTCAGTAGTTAGTAAGTGTTTTCTCTCTCAGTAGTTAGTAAGTAGTCCCACTTGTCAGTAGTTAGTAAGTGTTTTCTCTCTCAGTAGTTAGTAAGTAGTCCCACTCGTCAGTAGTTAGTAAGTGTTTTCTCTCTCAGTAGTTAGTAAGTAGTCCCACTCGTCAGTAGTTAGTAAGTGTTTTCTCTCTCAGTAGTTAGTAAGTAGTCCCACTCGTCAGTAGTTAGTAAGTGTTTTCTCTCTCAGTAGTTAGTAAGTAGTCCCACTTGTCAGTAGTTAGTAAGTGTTTTCTCTCTCAGTAGTTAGTAAGTAGTCCCACTTGTCAGTAGTTAGTAAGTGTTTTCTCTCTCAGTAGTTAGTAAGTAGTCCCACTTGTCAGTAGTTAGTAAGTGTTTTCTCTCTCAGTCGTTAGTAAGTAGTCCCACTTGTCAGTAGTTAGTAAGTGTTTTCTCTCTCAGGTCCCACTTGTCAGTAGTTAGTAAGTGTTTTCTCTCTCAGTCGTTAGTAAGTAGTGCCACTCGTCAGTAGTTAGTAAGTGTTTTCTCTCTCAGTAGTTAGTAAGTAGTGCCACTTGTCAGTAGTTAGTAAGTGTTTTCTCTCTCAGGTCCCACTCGTCAGTAGTTAGTAAGTGTTTTCTCTCTCAGTAGTTAGTAAGTGTTTTCTCTCTCAGGTCCGGGGCTTCCATCACGCAGAACATCAGTTGGACTAGTAAAGATGCGTCTGATTTACTCCGCATACTCAAGGTGAGAGTTTTAAATAACTCCGGTACATTTCACCTTGTAACGCGTCTGATTTACTCCGCATACTCAAGGTGAGAGTTTTAAATAACTCCGGTACATTTCACCTTGTAACTCCGCATACTCAAGGTGAGAGTTTTAAATAACTCCGGTACATTTCACCTTGTAAGCGTCTGATTTACTCCGCATACTCAAGGTGAGAGTTTTAAATAACTCCGGTACATTTCACCTTGTAACGCTATTGATTTACTCCGCATACTCAAGGTGAGAGTTTTAAATAACTCCGGTACATTTCACCTTGTAACTCCGCATACTCAAGGTGAGAGTTTTAAATAACTCCGGTACATTTCACCTTGTAAGCGTCTGATTTACTCCGCATACTCAAGGTGAGAGTTTTAAATAACTCCGGTACATTTCACCTTGTAACGCTATTGATTTACTCCGCATACTCAAGGTGAGAGTTTTAAATAACTCCGGTACATTTCACCTTGTAATTTACTCCGCATACTCAAGGTGAGAGTTTTAAATAACTCCGGTACATTTCACCTTGTAACGCGTCTGATTTACTCCGCATACTCAAGGTGAGAGTTTTAAATAACTCCGGTACATTTCACCTTGTAACGCGTCTGATTTACTCCGCATACTCAAGGTGAGAATTTTAAATAACTCCGGTACATTTCACCTTGTAGTCCGCATACTCAAGGTGAGAGTTTTAAATAACTCCGGTACATTTCACCTTGTAACGTATTTACTTCGCATACTCAAGGCGAGAGTTTTAAATAACTCCGGTACATTTCACCTTGTAACGTATTTACTCCGCATACTCAAGGTGAGAGTTTTAAATAACTCCGGTACATTTCACCTTGTAACGTCTGATTTACTCCGCATACTCAAGGTGAGAGTTTTAAATAACTCCGGTACATTTCACCTTGTAACGTATTTACTCCGCATACTCAATGTGAGAGTTTTAAATAACTCCGGTACATTTCACCTTGTAACGTCTGATTTACTCCGCATACTCAAGGTGAGAGTTTTAAATAACTCCGGTACATTTCACCTTGTAACGTCTGATTTACTCCGCATACTCAAGGTGAGAGTTTTAAATAACTCCGGTACATTTCACCTTTACTCCGCATACTCAAGGTGAGAGTTTTAAATAACTCCGGTACATTTCACCTTGTAACTGATTTACTCCGCATACTCAAGGTGAGAGTTTTAAATAACTCCGGTACATTTCACCTTGTAACGCATACTCAAGGTGAGAGTTTTAAATAACTCCGGTACATTTCACCTTGTAACTGATTTACTCCGCATACTCAAGGTGAGAGTTTTAAATAACTCCGGTACATTTCACCTTGTAACTGATTTACTCCGCATACTCAAGGTGAGAGTTTTAAATAACTCCGGTACATTTCACCTTGTAACTGATTTACTCCGCATACTCAAGGTGAGAGTTTTAAATAACTCCGCATACTCAAGGTGAGAGTTTTAAATAACTCCGGTACATTTCACCTTGTAACTGATTTACTCCGCATACTCAAGGTGAGAGTTTTAAATAACTCCGGTACATTTCACCTTGTAACGTATTTACTCCGCATACTCAAGGTGAGAGTTTTAAATAACTCCGGTACATTTCACCTTGTAACGTCTGATTTACTCCGCATACTCAAGGTGAGAGTTTTAAATAACTCCGGTACATTTCACCTTGTAACGCTATTTACTCCGCATACTCAAGGTGAGAGTTTTAAATAACTCCGGTACATTTCACCTTGTAACTGATTTACTCCGCATACTCAAGGTGAGAGTTTTAAATAACTCCGGTACATTTCACCTTGTAACGTCTGATTTACTCCGCATACTCAAGGTGAGAGTTTTAAATAACTCCGGTACATTTCACCTTGTAACGTCTGATTTACTCCGCATACTCAAGGTGAGAGTTTTAAATAACTCCGGTACATTTCACCTTGTCTGATTTACTCCGCATACTCAAGGTGAGAGTTTTAAATAACTCCGCATACTCAAGGTGAGAGTTTTAAATAACTCCGCATACTCAAGGTGAGAGTTTTAAATAACTCCGCATACTCAAGGTGAGAGTTTTAAATAACTCCGCATACTCAAGGTGAGAGTTTTAGATAACTCCGCATACTCAAGGTGAGAGTTTTAAATAACTCCGCATACTCAAGGTGAGAGTTTTAAATAACTCCGCATACTCAAGGTGAGAGTTTTAAATAACTCCGCATACTCAAGGTGAGAGTTTTAAATAACTCCGCATACTCAAGGTGAGAGTTTTAAATAACTCCGCATACTCAAGGTGAGAGTTTTAAATAACTCCGCATACTCAAGGTGAGAGTTTTAAATAACTCCGGTACATTTCACCTTGTAACGCTATTTACTCCGCATACTCAAGGTGAGAGTTTTAAATAACTCCGGTACATTTCACCTTGTAACGCTATTTACTCCGCATACTCAAGGTGAGAGTTTTAAATAACTCCGCATACTCAAGGTGAGAGTTTTAAATAACTCCGCATACTCAAGGTGAGAGTTTTAAATAACTCCGGTACATTTCACCTTGTAACGCTATTTACTCCGCATACTCAAGGTGAGAGTTTTAAATAACTCCGGTACATTTCACCTTGTAACGCTATTTACTCCGCATACTCAAGGTGAGAGTTTTAAATAACTCCGGTACATTTCACCTTGTAACGCTATTTACTCCGCATACTCAAGGTGAGAGTTTTAAATAACTCCGGTACATTTCACCTTGTATTTACTCCGCATACTCAAGGTGAGAGTTTTAAATAACTCCGGTACATTTCACCTTGTATTTACTCCGCATACTCAAGGTGAGAGTTTTAAATAACTCCGGTACATTTCACCTTTACTCCGCATACTCAAGGTGCGAGTTTTAAATAACTCCGGTACATTTCACCTTGTAACGTCTGATTTACTCCGCATACTCAAGGTGAGAGTTTTAAATAACTCCGGTACATTTCACCTTGTAACTGTACATTTCACCTTGTAACGCAATTTCGTAGAGTCTGTTAAGATGCCTCTTTTTGAGATCATAATCTATAAAACTGCAAGTACATTGCTAGCTTTACACGGAAATCACTGCTTAATCGCATCTCAATTACCTATCAATTACCTATCAATTACCTATCAATTACCCAGTAATTACCTATAAATTACCCCCTAATTGCCCAGTAATTACTCATGTTTTGTTACAGGTGTTTGCAGGTCCCGGTCTACACACTAATAGTAACGCAGAGTACAGATCTGTTCTAGCTACTATTGACTCTACAGTTCTAGAGGTAAAGCTCACCCTTTCTCTTTATTCCTCTTATTTGTCTTTATTTGTATTATTTGTCTTTATTTGTCTTATTTGTCTTTATTTGTCTTTATTTGTCTTTATTTGTCTTTGTTTTTCTTTATTTGTCTTTATTTTTCTTATTTGTCTTTATTTGTCTTTATTTGTCTTATTTGTCTATATTTGTCTTTATTTGTCCTTGTTTTTCTTTATTTGTCTTTATTTGTCTATATTATATAGATGAATGTCTGAGATTCTGACATACTGATATACATCTCTTCGTATTGATACTTATGTTTTTATCTAAAATGGTAAGTATGGCCTGTTTTAAACGGCTATTTCCCACCAATTTGAAGGATATAAACTATTGCACTCATATGGAGTCCTGGTATGCAACTTTAAAAGTATCCTTTTTTGGACTTGTCTCTGAAATATCCGGACATAACTTGCTCGGAGATAAGCTGATGGAATTACCGGAATAGCCTTGGAAAATACAACTAATTAAAGAATTAAGCAGGCTGAGAGACACAAATTAAGAGGTTGCCGATAAACAATACTTGTTATCTTCAGACGTAACGGTCTATTACGGTTCTTTTCATCGTGCGGAGTATTCTGAGCCCTGCAATTATTAAATTTCCATATCTGATAATTTGATACTGTTCACATATCGGGTAATTCAATATTGTTCACATATCTGGTAATACAATAGGGTGCATATCAATAAATTATCGGTACTGTATCACGACTAGACCAATATACTGTGGACTTGGTGCCTGCCTGGGAAATGTTTTAACGGTTTTCAGTCTCAAATCATTGTGTTTGGGGACTTGTTTCAGACATTATAGAAGATTCCAAACTCAAACTCAAGAAAACCTTTAATAATCCGAATTATGTCACCATAACTTATATTACAGATATAAGGTTTATTTTATTTAATATTTTAACTTTAAATATCGGTAATATACTCTCTAAATTATTCAAAAATTTCGATATTGAGGAAAAAATTATACGATAAAATCATCAAACTATATGATCTTACGATATGACATCTTCGAGGTTTCAGACAATTAATATTTAAAGATTTTTTACATAATTCCCAATATGCCGTAAAATATCCCTAATTTTGCACATTAAATGCCGTCATGCATCCGCCTCGAGCACATCTCCTCGATTCCCTGGAATTTTCTGAAGATTTTGCGGAAGATTGTCTCCCATGCAGTGCCCTGGGTTATCTTATTTTAGGACACTTGGCAACCCTAGGATAGCGACAAGCTTGTTTACGCTATCCCGCGAATTTCCAGATTTAGTTCACAAGTCGGCCTCTTTTTATTTCGTTCTACCTGGTTTGAAATATTCTTAAAATATGCACAATCATGTGAAAACTACTGCGGTAATGAAATATTTCTGTAAATTGTAAAAGCATAAAAGATGCCGGTCACGCTTTGAAAATTCAAAACACCAACCCTTCACACACCTTTGTGACTAAGGAGTAAGGAGACATGTAGGCATATTCTTGTTACAGAAGATACGCCTTTAGAATAACAATATAAGACTGACTACTGATATCACTATCCAACATAGCCTCCCCCTCCCCCCTCCCCTCTTCCTATATCTTCTGATTATCCAACATAGCCTCCCCCTCCCCTCTTCCTATATCTTCTCATTATCTAACATAACCTCCCCCTCCCATCTTCCTATATCTTCTCATTATCCAACATAGCCACCCCCTCCCCCCTCTTCCTATATCTTCTGATTATCCAACATAGCCTCCCCTCCCCCCTTCCCTCTTCCTATATCTTCTGATTATCTAACATAACCCCTCTCCCCTCTTCCTATATCTTCTCATTATCCAACATAGCCTCCCCTCCCCTCTTCTTATATCTTCTTATTATATAACATAGCCACCCCTCCCCCCTCCCCTCTTCCTATATCTTCTCATTATCCAACATAGCCACCCCCCTCCCCTCTTCCTATATCTTCTCATTATCCAACATAGCCTCCCCCTCCCCTCTTCCTATATCTTCTCATTATATAACATAGCCACCCCCTCCCCTCTTCCTATATCTTCTCATTATCCAACATAGCCACCCCCCTCCCCTCTTCCTATATCTTTTCATTATTCAACATAGCCACCCCCCTCCCCTCTTCCTATATCTTCTCATTATCCAACATAGCCTCCCCCTCCCCTCTTCCTATATCTTCTCATTATATAACATAGCCACCCCCTCCCCTCTTTCTAGTTCCTATATCTTCTCATTATCCAACATAGCCTCCCCCTCCCCTCTTCCTATATCTTCTCATTATATAGCATAGCCACCCCCTCCCCTCTTCCTATATCTTCTCATTATCTAACATAGCCTCCCCCTCCCCTCTTCCTATATCTTCTCATTATCCAACATAGCCTCCCCCCTCTTCCTATATCTTCTTATTATCTAACCCACTTCCTTACAGATAAAGAAACAGAGTATAAGCAAGTATGGTTTTGTAGACATTAATCCAATGAGTTACACGTTGATCTGCTCTACTGGATTCTACACAGACAGCAAGGGAAACGACATATCCACCCTATCTGAGGCAAGTACACGCGTAACCATGACGAAATACACGTAACCATGACACTCGTAACCATGACAACAAGACGCACTTCTCATCCGCATTTTTGGGATTCTTTACATTTCTCGGATTCTATCTTGTCAAGTGTGTGTTAGACTGTGTTGGGCCGTTCTCTTACTTTGCGTTAACGTTTGGATTCAAGTTTGGTTTTATGCAGCTGAACAATGTCACTGTGCTTCTCTACAACGACTATACAGTATGTTTTGGTAAGTTAACAGCTGTAAAACATTATGAACCGCAGTGTTCACGAGCCTTACTGTGGATACTACTGCACGTGCAATGTGTAACGTGTGTGTATCAACACGTGCAATGTGTAACGAGTGTATTTACAGGGGTTTGGAAGCAAGAGCGAGTGTTGGAAGGAGGTGCATGCAGAACACCTGACTGACACTTCCCGTCCTCTAGACTTGCAGACCATCAGCGAGGTGGGTTCAACCCTTTGTTTATTTTTCAACTGTTTGTTTATTCTCTGTATCTTTGTTTGTCGGTTTGTTTGTTTTTTGTGTGATTTTGCTTTGGTATCTGTTGGTTTGTTGGTTTGTTCTCAGTTGGTTTACATATTTATTTATTATATCTCATTGTCATTGTATCTATGGTAACTTGTAGTAGTCATTGTCATCAGTCCGTGGAACAGTTATTTATAGTTCACATACTCCTTCATAAAACCCACAATTACCTTCCAATTTACCCAATCAAGTAGCATACTGCAGTAATTATAGTTCTTGAATTGTAGGCTAAATATTCCTAATATGTGCATTGTATGCTAAATATGCACGATATTCCTCTGTAATTAAAATGTTCCTACAGAAACTCGAGACTAATCACCTGACCAATACCTTTGTTACAACATTATTATATAATAAAACAGTAAGTAATATATATTATGATAACTACACTTGACTTCACATTTTTGTTGATTCCAAGGCTCTTCTGCCACAATAATTAGTGCAGTGCTAATTCTACAGGTTCTTATATTATGTGCATAATACAGCTGGTCTAGTTTGCAGTAGATGTTGCTGAGTTTATTCATCCGTAAAACCCTTTGTTGCTGGTTGATAAAATATGTGCATATGTTTAGCGAAATGGCTGCCAATCTCCGCTTTGCACCTGATAAAATTATTAGATAAATGCCCACATATTTCCCATATTATTTTCTGTTAAAACGTGGTGGTACCTTCTTCTTACATGTTTCAGGACAAGTACAGAACATTGGAACGTGAAATATTTAGATTATTTTTATCAGACTGTTTTATTTTTATCAGACTGTTTTATAGACATGATATTATATAACATATTTACTGTAATTTTTGGAAAAATCGCGAATATATTATATCCCCGCAAAAATGGCTGGTTTTACAGTTATAATATTTATAATATTATAATATTTTTATATCTATTATTAGGCCGTTTTTTTAGACATGATACACCTCTTAGCAGCTCGCTTACTCAAGTCAATGATTGTGCATTGTTGCTAATTTCATTTCAACATCAAAGCAACCATCAGTAACTTAACCGGATAACATGTTGCCTATCTGTTGGTGTGGAACCTTATTTAGCGCTTATTTTGTGAAAAGTTGATTGATCGTGCTCACTGCTCCTCAGAACCTCTGTGTCTGTTTTTATTTAAAGTACCGTATATAGCCTTTTTTTTAGTGATATTCAGTTAGGCATGAACTTGTTTCTCATTTCATCTATTTATAGACCTATTTATTTATAGACCTAGTTTTAGAGCCTTATTTAGGTGTCAATATGGCTGTATCTCACTAAGGGTGACGTATAAGATTAACTAAGGAGTTGATTTCTAAACTCTGAGATCGTTTAAACCATCAGAGCCCAGTTTGATCAACTTGTCATAATAAATATTCGAGATTCAACCTCGCATATCCACTATCCAGTATCTTAAATCAGTTCTCTCGGTACCAACTCTCTTGGTCAAATTCGTTGTGCTCTTTATTTTAGTGGTTTTATAAAACTAAATCATTCAAGTGCGGGGTACCCTTGATCTTTAATTTAATGGTTGTAGAAAATTAAATAAATTAACTTGTTGGGTTTTGTAGTTTAAATTAAAATAAAATTTTTAATGTGCTAGGCTTCATTACATCATACATATTTAAGATCTTTGAAATTTATCCGTTTAAAAGTGGCGTAATATTTTCGTAGTTCACTTTGTTCAACTAGTAACTGTATTTAGATGCAATTAAAACTGTTAAGAAAAGTTACCCGAGCCACCCTGAGTACCCAGGCAAGTTATTAGCAGAAGTTAATAATTTTAATTAATGTAATTAGTTAATTAATATCATTAGCACCTGATAATGTTATTGAAGCGTTAATTCTAATATCCTTTACAAGCTTCACACATGCTAGGTAACACTTCACAACATATTGATATTCTTTTATTTAAGTTATTTAATTATCTTATTTAATTTAAAATAATGTAAAAGTAATATCTTATATTTACAGGAGATGGAGAGTACACGGTTAGAACTAAGATACAAGACTCCATCCTCCTCTGACTCCACCCCCTCTCCTACTTCACCCGCCTCTCCCATGGTAAGTTATCCTACTTCTTCAAATTTCAGATTTATCCTACTACTTCACATTTCAGATTTATTCCACTTCTTCCTACTTCAGAGTTATTCCACTTCTTCCTACTTCAGAGTTATTCCACTTCTTCCTACTTCAGAGTTATTCCACTTCTTCCTACTTCAAAGTTATTCCACTTCTTCCTACTTCAGAGTTATTATAGCTCTTCTTACCCCGTATTAGACAGACTTGTTACTACTTAGAAAGTGCCCAGCCATGTCAAACTGTAATATTATTAAATATTACTAAATATTACTAATATTTCTCCAACTAGACTGAATCACTGAACGCGGCTAACTTTGCTCCTCCTACTTTAAAAACATAGTCTAATATTAAATAGTCTAATATTATACACACAGTTTATTATACACACCTGTAATAGTTACTAGAATCCAACTCAAGCCACGTGGTGTGACGTCATGACACGTGGTGTGACGTCATGACACATGCTCCTCCTACTCTATTATGATAGTCTAATATTATACACACAGTTTATTATACACACCTGTAATAGTTACTAGAATCAGATTTAAAATAAAATCTGGGTTTCTGAAGTGGGCTGTAAAGTTACTGAACGAATGAGTAGTGTGGACTAGCTACTCCTCACAGTGGGAAATTTACAGCCTCCATTATGACATTAAGCTATAATTGACGATTTATTCACCATACGTTATTTTTTGAAGTTCAATTGACCCGGAACATGTCTGAAACACCTCCCCAGATGTTTGGGTGGGGGTATCATCGGAAAAAAAAATCGATTTTCATGAAAATTTTGAAATATTTTATGGAAAATGACAAAAATCGCCTTATTTTAACATGTTTTGGCCAGTAAAATGGCTGATAAAAGCCTAGAAATGCTATTTTGCTTATTTATTTTGGTTTTAATCATAAGTACACATAATTTCGAGATATTCCATATCAAACAACTTGCACTAAATGGTTTTGAAATTGATACCATCACAATTTTTAGGGTTCAGGCCCCCTAAATTTTGAGGACAGAGGGAAGCCCTTTTTGTGGATTTGCACAAAATTTTCAATTCCCATGTCTTTAAAATGTATTCTGTGGTTATGAGCTCTCCGAGAGCTTTCTTCCGGTACCAAATTTGTCGTTGTAGGGTAAAAATTGAAGTTTTTAAGGAAAAAAATTGGCGAAATTTTGGAAAATCTTGGAAAATCTGCCGTTTTAGCCTCGAAATTCACCAAATTATCCAATTATAAAATACTTTAAGACCTTAACCCATTAGGGACGATAGGGTCGTTTTTAAGACCCACCTTTTCTAGACGAAAAACCAAATTACTAAACGCTATAACGAATCTATAGCATATATGCTCAAAATTTATTGGGCTACATATAATGAAGCCCAATAAATTTTGAGTATATATGCCATAGATTCGTTATAGCGTTTAGTAATTTGGTTTTTCGTCTAGAAAAGGTGGGTCATAAAAACGACCCTATCGTCCCTAATGGGTTAAATTATTATTTCATTGTCTTCAGCTCACTGCTAGCTACAATTTGACACTAAAATGGTCCAATTCTGACAAAATCTGAATTTTAAAATGCAAAATAAGAGGGTTTTTTGGTCCAAAAATCCACCAAAATGACTGTTTTGATCATAAAATTTGAGTTTTTATTAGATTTTTGCTACATTTTGCTAGATTTTGACTTAAGGGTATGTTCTTAGGCTTACCTATAGCCTAAGAATACATTTAGATATGTTTTGAAGCTCTAAATGTATTCCTAGACGCAATTTTTGACCATTTAAGTATCAACTAGCAATAGGCAAAAATTGCACATTTTCTACACGTCAAAGATTTTCAAAGCGCTCTGTAAAAAAAGTGCCACATAGTGCCGCAGGTTGCAGAGTTGGGTTTGCCTCAAAATAGTGTCTAGTTTCACATGCAATAGTGTTTTGAGGCGTGCTATGGTGTGCTCACAACTTTTTATGCCCATTTTTGTCAAAAATTTGGCTGAAAAAGCGTAATTTTTTCGCTCGCGCATCAAAAATCAACCAAAACTTCAATTTTCATAGGTTAAAAAACATTAGAAGGATGATTCTTTGCCTAAACATGACAATATAGCCTCCATTGTGGCACATAAGTTCCTTTTGGAGGGCTAAAATGTCAAAACAGGCAAAATTTCACTGAAAAAACCGAAATTTTGCCTACCTCTTTTTTCCTCAAAATTCATAGCGCGACTGCGAAAAGGGCTTTTGATGTTTTTGAAAACGGTTTTTTGCTCTGAATTCCCCTAAATTTTGACTATGAAATAACGTTAAATTCAAAACATTTATAGAAAGTCGATTTTTTGCTTAATGTCATAATGGTTTCCCACTGTGCTCCTCCTGGTTAAAACCATCCCACAATACTCAATAAATGTAATGTATTTGTAGTGTTGTAGTTAGTTTAATGACAAACTGTTAATCACAGTTACAATTGAACTAACACTTACACTGAAGTACAGTTTCTATACAACAAATATAGAGACAGCCTTGTAAAGATAACTCTAGCACAGTTTTCAGATTCATACATTTCCACTTCGTAGGTTTCATCTCAATATCTATTAAACTTAGATACATCCATTAAAGACACTAAGGTAAAGTAGCATAGCTACTGTAGTGACTGTAGTAGTCGCTGAAACGCGCGGCTAGCATGAGTTAAACTAACGTTAGTTCCCAAAATGACGGGAGTGTCGTAAAGCAGAGTCATTAGTGTGGGAATATACGGTGTAAGATATCAGATTTCCCAGAGGGTGGAATCCAGACTGTGGTTCTTGTCTGAGTAGTAATGGTATGTCTGAGTAGTTGGCTGGACTCCAAGACCGTATCAAGGTCTCCAGGCAGATTGCACGGAATTTACTGAAATATGCGACCCAAGGTGTCTAGATTCCTAGAGAGTGTAGTCACTTTAACCGTTAGAAATTGGGTAATAGCGCAGCAGTGAAACATTGCTGCTACTTTAACTAGTGGGATCTCACTTACATAAGACGCTATATTTGGCACTCTCAGCAGCTGTAATCGTGGTGTAAGACTTGTCTTTATCTTTTTGCAGTCTCTGCTTGTTTGCTCTACATTCCTCACTGCTCTCCGGTTCCTGTTTCTTGTTGTTTAGAGCTGTTACCAGGGCAGTTACCAGGGTTACCAGGGCTGGTTTAATGTATCAGTTCAAAGGGGAACTAGAAGACGTTAAAACTCTTATTATTGTGATGAAGACACTGTATGATGTGTTAAGGGGCTGCTGTTTCCTCTCTGAGAAGGTATGTTATAGTATATCAAGTTATATGCTACTACTAGCAGTAGTACTTATCCGCGGCAAATTCCTACGTGTATTTGCAGTATTTGTTTGTAGGCTCCAGTTACCAAACGCTAATACCTCGGACTTTACAGCACATATAAAATATTATGTTAAATTTCTGCGAATATTTGAGTAGTGAATGTGCATTAAGTTTATGACCCTACAATATTGGTTGGAATCCTTACCATACTAACATAAATATGTGCTGAACTATAGCTGAGTAGACATATATTTAGAGGATATTAAGTGGTAAGTGAGCATGAACCAGTGTGGCGAAACATAGGGCCCCGCACAGAGACATCATTCGTTCAAACTTATTTTATTTATTTATTCACTCTGAAAGGGTTCTCTTTTATTAAATCTTTAAAAGTTCAACTTTACCACTTATAACCACTAAATGTTCAACTTACAACCACTTTATAAGTTACACCCTGGCAATATCACCCTGGCAATATCACCCTGGCAATATCACCCTGGCACTATCACCCTGGCACTATCACCCTGGTTTATTTCCCACCACTGTGAGTATTACTGGATAACTGTGTCCGGCAAGTCTGACCTGGCGCCTGGCTGGTATCTATAATCACAGTACCCTCACAGTCTCACTATACTACCCTAGAGTGATGTAATGATAATGGGGGATATTGTTTCAGGATAGCAAACAGGAGACGATAAAGCAGGAGACGATAAAGCAAGCTACAGGACTACACCACCACCCGGACAAGCCTTTCTTGATACTCATTCAGGCGTGAGTACACAGTTACCAAGGTTACCGTTACCATGGTGATTACCATGGTGACTACACCATGTTGGGTGTTATATTTAGTTAACCTTTACATTGTACCACGTCACTCTTAGAGTGGTGATGTGCTGTACAGTGTGCAGTGTGCTGTCACCAGTTATTACTGAACAGTGAACATGTATCAGTATACAACTCTGGTTCCTACTTACATTAGAATTGTATACAATGTACATTCAATTATCGTACAATGTACATGGTACATTATACACTTCACAGTTTACACTAAAGTACACCATATTATATTACCAAAAGCTGGTCCCCAAAAAAACAAACATAAGTTTCTCAACCCCATACATTGTACATCAATAATTATTTATAGTGTAGGATTTCAGCAAATATCGCCTATTTCCATCACGGATCACAACTGTGATTAAATAAAATTAACTACTGCTTCTATTTATTTAAGAAATATTACTTAAAACTAACTTGATGTAAGTGTTAGTGAACTGACCCAGTATATATATATATATTACCACTGATAACAGTTACAAGATAAGATAAGAAACCTACTCTATTGCAGTCTGATATAACTGTATGATTTTAGTGGACCCTTGACATTTTGTCACGGTATGTGACCCCGTCATGTGACCCCGTCATGTGACCCGTCAACCATCCCACCATTCCCAATTGTACCTTACTAAATGAAGTGATAAAAACAGGGCACATAATCTAAACAACTGCTCACACAACCCTAATACAGAGTACAGACCCTCGTTACAAGTAGTGAGTATCATAGCCCCACAAGTAGTGAGTATTATAGCCCCACAAGTAGTGAGTATTATAGCCCCACAAGTAGTGAGTATTATAGCCCCACAAGTAGTGAGTATTATAGCCCCACAAGTAGTGAGTATTATAGCCCCACAAGTAGTGACTATTATAGCCCCACAAGTAGTGAGTATTATAGCCCCACAAGTAGTGAGTATTATAGCCCCACAAGTAGTGACTATTATAGCCCCACAAGTAGTGAGTATTATAGCCCCACAAGTAGTGAGTATTATAGCCCCACAAGTAGTGAGTATTATAGCCCCACAAGTAGTGACTATTATAGCCCCACAAGTAGTGACTATTATAGCCCCACAAGTAGTGAGTATTATAGCCCCACAAGTAGTGACTATTATAGCCCCACAAGTAGTGACTATGAGCACTATACCCCGTCTGAAGCCTGTAAACAACCACTACTTTACCCGGCTTACTCTGTGGTTACTGTAATACTCCTCATATTAGCTGGTAACCACAGTGCTGATAATACGCGAGCACTTCTAATGGGTTAAATCTCATTACTCTGATCCTTTAGTTCCCTCTGTGTGTGTGTTCTTTGAGTTGCAGTTTCTTTGTAATCTCTCTCAGTTTTCGGTACATTAAAACATTAAAGAGAGGTTTGGTAGGATTTGTGGCAGTATACGTGGCGACATTTCATTTTAAAGCGATAAATAAATTGCATTTATCTAGTTTCATTGGTTGAATAATAATGAATTAATACAGTTTATTAGCTCCAGGATTTCGCCCCGTTCTGTTTCATCCCCTTTCTCCAGTCTTAGTTTTCAGCTTGCAGTACTCTCTATGTGTGTTTTACACAGTGTTTAGTCTACCAATTAGTTAGTGTTATTCTGGTAGCGTGTTACGGGGCTATTAATAGAACTACTCTACAAAGTGGGACTATTGTTTTTATTACTAACGACTTAACGAGTTAGTTTTATATTATGAGAATTGGTTAATCACGCTACAATTAGTCAGCACTGGATCACACTAAAAAAGAAAGGTGTAAGAAAGGGTTTATATAATAACAATGTGAACTGTGTTTATCAGCACTATCTGGCTTAACAATGTGTCCACCACCTCCCATGTGATAGAATCTAACAAACCCACACACACTGATGTTACATTTAATATATCGAACAGTACCCCAATCTAGTGGATAGTCAGGGTGGGATCCCCGGCTGATAAACTAATATTAGTAATATTACTAATATTACTAATATTACTAATATTACTAATATTAGTAATATTACTAATATTACTAATATTACTAATATTACTAATATTAGTAATATTACTAATATTACTAATATTACTAATATTACTAATATTACTAATATTACTGACTATAACATCTCCGTCTGTAGGTTTGACAGAGAGTTAGATCACGTGATTTACCCGTTATCAGAGGGAGAAACACGGTTCATATCTCTGGGCACTCCACCCCAACCATCCTACACTGGGAGCGTTATTGTTATTCACACTAACGAGACTGTGGAGCGCTCTATCATGCTATCAGGTCAGTTTCATTTTCACTTTCACTTGTTTTCTGTTTCACTTTCTCTTTTTATAGTTTTAAATTTGATCTGTGGAAGATATTTTATAAAGTTGTTGCACGAGTGTAGCCTATAATTATAGCTATTATATATAACTAACCCACTATATTCAGGTCCCAAATGTATGCTCTGTAACGGGTCTAAGAAAACGGATTTAAAGTGCGGGCAGTCCTTCGACATCGGCAAACACTACAAGTTCATCTTCAAAGAAGCTATTGATAATGATGTTCCTTCTCCAGGTACTATCTTAATTTGACTCTATATGTCGACAGTCTTGTTTACTTGTCTCCTTTTTTTAATTAAATGTAATAATATGAATTACTGCAGAGTTGTTCTCTTACCTTAGTAAAACTATGTCATGTTTTCGTCAATTTAATATGATGTAACCCTGTGTTTAACATATCCGCGATGAGTTTAACTTTTTACAGTTTTACATTTTGACTTTTTGAGTCTGGTATTAAGGTCGGTTTTATGTCATAGGCCGTCTATCCGACTCCTAATCTGTTCGCCTGTAGCTGTGCGTGTCAGTTCAGTTAATATTTTCCTCAGATTGTATGTAGAGTTTCCTCAGAATTTTACAACTGTTAACAGTTAAAGAGATGGACGTTTAGTTCGATGTTGTCATCAAAATTGAAAGCTACAAAAACCAGACGAAACATTAGATTAAGTATAAACTTGTTCCTGTTGGTCTAGAACTACTTGGCTGCATTATAATACCTAACATTCCTCCCTCGGTAACCTGGTAACCTAGTAACCTGGTAACCTGATATCCTGGTAACCTGGTAACATAGTAACCTGGTAACCTGATAGCCTGGTAACCTGGTAACCTGGTAACCTGGTAACCTGGTAACCTGGTAACCTGGTAACCTGGTAACCATGTAATAACTAATAACATTATCTCCACAGAGATAGGATCACCAGATACACAGAGGACTCTCTCTACAGGCACCCTTACCTCCCTCTCCCCGGAACTCAATAACATGAGCACTATTATACACCAACACGCTGAGCCCCGCTTTATATTCTACATGGTTAGTCTTGCTTTATTTAACACAGGCTCTGTTTAGTGAAATTATAAATCTCACTCTTTCCGACAAATGTTGACAAATGTTTAATACTTGGAGCGTGGGTGGTTCTGTCAATAATCAACATGGAGGGTAATTCAATTATCCTTGCTGAAACTTTGCGTCAATTTCTGGGAATATTGTGCAACTTTTGAGATGAACGGGTATGTGGTAGACGATCACATGTCATACTTTTAATAGATTTGTTGCCACTCACGATTATAACATGGGTGATCAATATAATAATGACGATAAAACGGTTGTTGGCACTATGTAAGGGCCTCTATGTAAGGGCCTCTATTTAAGGTCCTGTATATGTATTATCAGCTGTATTAAAACCGCACTATTCTACAGGAACACAGACAAGTACTACTAGACAGTATCCTGGACTACGACACTCTCTGCAACAAGAACGTGCTAGCGTGCGCGCGGCTCACTATCATGAGTCTACGTCACGCGTTCGAGCACTTCACACCTGCTGAAATGACAGAGTTACTCGAGTATAGTAGAGATAGAATAGAACTGCTGGCTAAAGTGGTGCAGCAGAAAGCTGCTGAGCTCCTCAATACTTGCAATCCTAATCAGAAGTAAGTTGTGGATTCAATCCAACTCTAACATAATATCATATACAAGTCTCGTGTGAAGAGACGTACAAACTGTTGTCGTCCACAGATTTAAAACTATCAATGAATATTAACCTCCTTCCTCTTAGAAAGAGTGCTACAAGTTTCCTGAAGCCGATGGTTAAGCTGCTCTCCAGCACACTAGAGATAGTACACTACTTAAGAGAGAACCCTCTTCTAACAGATGATAAGATAGTGAACGAGATAGAGAAACTAGCTGTTCCCATGTACGAGCACATTGCTTATCACTCAGCTAAGGTACGTTACTGTCGAGTAGTGGATATTGTGTTTAATGTTTATAGTCTGTACATTATATTATAAGAACTGAACACTCCAATCCTATGAAACTAGTTTTACATATCTATTCTTATAGAGTTAATCCCCCCTAAAACTAACACCACTTTCTCAGATGGTATACGAGCTGCTGCCTAGTATCCTAGACCCGGTCCCCCTCCTCCCACCCTCTAAGCCCTCTACAGAGGTCCCCAGTGACGGAGTCCCTGTCTCTACTAGTGGCTCCTGTCAGGACGCTCCTGTTTCTTCTAGTGTTCTCTCTTCTGTTGAGGAGGACGCGCCTGTAAAGGAGGAAATACCTTCTTCTCCTCCTCCGACTGAACGGGGTAAGCAGATGTGTGACCCATTTTTAATTTATATATTTAATTTGTATATTTAGACTGACATGCTTTAATATTTGTACATTCAACTCTTATATAGAAGCGAATATAATTCCCACAATAAACCTTCTAAAAAACCTTGTTTCCTCAGAGAAGAGGAGATGGAGTGTGCCCTACCTAGCTCCCACGCGCAAGCGCAAGATGACGAAGGACAGGCCGCGCAGCGAGAGTCTGACGGGCACAGAGCGGCAGTTGTTGGGCGCGACACGCAGCAGTCCGGCCGGTGGTGCTAGTCTAAGTGCGGACGAGATTACTGATATCATCATGCAGTGAGTATACTCAAATATCAGGGTTACTGTTCAGTACTGTAGTTTACAAGAGAGTTACTAGTGAAGTAGTGACAAGTATCTGGTTACTAATAAGTTGTTACCAGTGACTACCAGTAGCTGGTTACTAGTTACCAGTTACTTAGTAACTTAGTTACTGGCAAGTGTTACTTATAGTAGGGGTAGTCTAGAAGATAGTAACTGTTATTAGGAAATGTTCCTTGTCAGTATTTGTCAGCTAACTTATTGTACCACGGGGCTGCTTTATTACCTTTATATTACACTAGAACTGCAAATTTAACTGTTATTGGGAAATGTTTCACACTAGAGCTTACTTTGGACTCTGTAGGACCTTACCTTAGTTACACTAACTCAATAGTTAGTAGGTAGTACACTATTACACTTGTAGCTTCTAACTAAGGTCAGTATTTCTGCAATGAAATTAACCAGTTACTATGTCAGTACTGCCACATATATTGCATAAAATAAACATAATATGCGGCTTGTTAGTGAGCTGGTTTGACATACATGACACATCAGTAATGCACCACTTTTAATTAGCTGATTCGCAGGATAGCTGTGTTTTATATCAACACGTTGTGGAAATTGGATTTAAGCTGCTCACTTAATTTAGTAACAAAGTACAATATTATTGTAACACTGAAATATGAGTCCTAGTTTTACGTGGTTAACACGTGGTTAACACGTGGTTAACACGTGGTTAACACGTGTTTCAGTTATCTGGACACGTGGTTAACACGTGGTTAACACGTGGTTAACACGTGGTTAACACGTGGTTAACACGTGGTTAACACGTGGTTAACACGTGGTTAACACGTGGTTAACACGTGTTTCAGTTATCTGGAGACGTGGTTAACACGTGGTTAACACGTGTTCTTATGTTCTACCCCACTTTATGGTATTATGTACGTGCTACCCGACAGTTATTCAGGACGGTGTATTTTACCAGGTTCTAATTTAAGTAAAGTCAGATTTGATTTGTTCTCCTAGTGTGAGACAATGCAATCTTATCGATATGAGCACGGGTCAGTGAATTTACTGCAAATAAAAATAAACATTACGTATTGTTGTCCGTGACATAATGGAATTCTCTGCCCACTTGGTATGCACAATATCTTTACCTGTGTTACAGTCTTACCTCATCCTTAAATGACAAATATTTCAGGAACGCGGTAAAGTTTTCAGGAAACCCGAACAGCCCAGGCTGCAGACGAAATACCGCTCGACAGAATCTGACTAACATCGGGCCCGGAGTTAAAGTCTTGGTTCAGTTGCTCCAGAAGTTTCACACTTTGAGTGAGTAACCTACGTTTTTTGAGGTATTTTACGAATTTCGCCCAGTTTTGGGGATTCTCCAGTCTCCTTCTTGGTCTGGCTAGATTTAGAGAATGCACATTCTTAAACTCAATGATTTCAGGTAATAACTGTAAGCTGAACAGCGCCATGGTGAAGCAGTTGTTTGTCTCGATATTCTACTTTTCTAATACCACACTGTTTAACACTATCATCGAATCTCCTCAATTATATTTCAACTGGAACAAAGGTTTGTTTGTCTCCGATAGACTTCAATTCATTCGTTCAAGCGTTCCCTCAAGCTGAAGCATTCCTAGCTAACTTCCCCGCGCGCGAACACCGAATCATAGTTTATTGATAAAACTATGCTATCGTAGATCTTTAAATAAAGCCGCGCGCGCATTTTTATCATATTTCATTGGTCTTATCAAGCATGAATACTTTCTAATTCAAAGGTTACCTGGGGACCTCAGGCTATCATGTTTATAAACATAGAGATTAGGCGGAATGACAGGCTGAGCGCGGCCCAGTAAATTCAAAGGAAGCAAATCAATTACCATTATTATATTATATATTATTATAAAATATATATCAGTATAAAGGCTCCAAATAATCCGAGTAATTGTTACAGGTATACAGATGAGGATACACCTAGATTACGTGTTACGCTGGACTCACCACGTGCAACTCTCCCACACTTCAAATATGTATTTCCGCGAACTTCACCAACTGTTAGATCTTCTCTCGCTCCCTAAACGAGATCTGTTAGCTTCCACCTGGGCCGCTTTATCTAAAACATTCCCCAACTTGTCACCAGCGCAACTTAACCACGTTTTATCAAACCACAGTGTCAGTCAGAAACCGAGGATCTGGAAGCCTTGTCCTCCCCTATCCCTGACAACTGACTCCAGCATCAGGATAGAGTTAACTTCGTACCCTCAGCTTGTTATTCCAAATAGAGGCTACAAATTAGCCAACTTCTCCGAGATTCCGGACAACTTGAGGCCAACTCTGGCTAAGTTAACAAAGAGCATTGTTTCCATGTCTCAAACGAAACGTAGTCCCGTACAAGCTAACACATTACAAGCTAACACATTTAAGTGCTCCCTTCAGAAAAACGACTCCAAATCTATTGGATTAAAATTAAAGAAAAACTCTCAAGGAAATATCCGTGTCAGTGACATTGTGTTAAATTCACCCGCTCAGCTCAGTGGAGAAATAGAGTGCGAGGACGAAATCCTCCAAATAAACAATACCCCAGTTTCTGGAAACAGCGTCGCTTTTTGTAAACGAATAATCATGAACAGCGAGGATAATGTCCAACTTCTACTGGGCAGGACTAAATTATAGTTTGTAGGACAGGATAGGTTACTATAGATTACTTTCTATGGTTTGTTTATAATTGTTTATAGGTTACTTTTAATTTTATATTTCGTTTTCTGAATTTGATTTCAAGATAAAAGACACTTCTGTTGTGATTGCTGATCAGTCTTTAAACGAGGCTACGATTAACAATTTTATTACATTTAAACAGTTTTTATTGCAACACTTTTGGGCTAAACAGTCCCAACTGGAACATGGTTAATAATATTAAATTGAGTACAATCTGAAATATGCGTCAATAAGTAGACTCCTTCAAATCATGCTTAACGTTTAAATTCACGATACAATCAACCACTTTGTATATATTACACGTCGTGATTATGAAATTTAAAATATTTACAAATTGGACAAATTTGTTAATTGACTTGTAGGTTTTATTGACTATTGAGCATGTTATTACTCGTTAAACCAACTAATAGTACTATTGATTTGTGTTAAGTTTTACCTTTCTTATTAGTGGATTCAATTCTATTTCTAAAATTGATGAATAACAGTGATTGATGAATAACAGTGATGTTTATTTTAAACTTATTTTTATAAGTTTTGTTAAGAATTGAGGTTTGAACGAACATAAAAAGTCTATTATTTGTGTTTAGAAACTTTGGTCAGCTTTTTCCATGGAACCTCATATGGGCAGGCAAATTATTTCAGACTGGCAATAGGAAACGTCTGTCAATTCCACATGATTTTCACTTTCGCGAGACAAATAATTACAATGATTACCAGTGTCGCAGAAGTATAGTATTTCAAATTTTGTGATCAGCGAGAGTTACTAATATGAATTACAATAAGTCTTACTCGTAGGGGGAGAGGGGGGCACATTTTCAGGTTTTATAGAGTTACACAATCCAAATAAATTTGAAAATGTTTGCAGTCCCCACTTCCTTCCCTTCGGCTCTGAGAGAATAATTCTCGGAACAAAGAGTTAGGTTTTGGTTAACTGTATTAGTCATAGGATTTTTTATGAATTGAGAAAATGTGTCCCCCTACCTCATAAATCATAAATCAACCATATTAACATAGCTATAAATATTGATATTTATATAATATCATATCAATTCATCTGATATCATGTATCGTCAAAGAATAACATCCGATATATTTTCATCTAATATCACAAATAATATTCCTCTAAGTCACGAAATATAACAATCAAAATCACTTTTATCAAGAAACAATTATTCCTCAAAGTCACTTAATATCTCAATCAAAGTCTCAAATATCAAGAGACTATGTTTCCTCAAAATCACTTAATATCCCAATCAAAGTTCCTTATATCAAAAGACTATTATTCCTCAAAGTCACTTAACATCCCAATCAAAGTCCCTTATATCAAGAGACTATAATTCCTCAAAGTCACTTAATATCTCAATCAAAGTCTCATATATCAAGAGACTATTATTCCTCAAAATCACTTAATATCCCAATCAAAGTTCCTTATATCAAAAGACTATTATTCCTCAAAGTCACTTAACATCCCAATCAAAGTCCCTTATATCAAGAGACTATTATTCCTCAAAATCACTTAATATCCCAATCAAAGTTCCTTATATCAAGAGACTATTATTCCTCAAAATCACTTAATATCCCAATCAAAGTTCCTTATATCAAAAGACTATTATTCCTCAAAGTCACTTAACATCCCAATCAAAGTCCCTTATATCAAGAGACTATTATTCCTCAAAATCACTTAATATCCCAATCAAAGTTCCTTATATCAAGAGACTATTATTCCTCAAAATCACTTAATATCCCAATCAAAGTTCCTTATATCAAAAGACTATTATTCCTCAAAGTCACTTAACATCCCAATCAAAGTCCCTTATATCAAGAGACTATTATTCCTCAAAATCACTTAACATCCCAATCAAAGTCCCTTATATCAAGAGACTATTATTCCTCAACGTCACTTAACATCCCAATCAAAGGTCCTTATATCAAGAGACTATTATTCCTCAAAGTCACTTAACATCCCAATCAAAGTCCCTTATATCAAGAGACTATAATTCCTCAAAGTCACTTAATATCTCAATCAAAGTCTCATATATCAAGAGACTATTATTCCTCAAAATCACTTAATATCCCAATGAAAGTTCCTTATATCAAGAGACTATTATTCCTCAAAGTCACTTAACATCCCAATCAAAGTCCCTTATATCAAGAGACTATAATTCCTCAAAGTCACTTAATATCTCAATCAAAGTCTCATATATCAAGAGACTATTATTCCTCAAAATCACTTAATATCCCAATCAAAGTTCCTTATATCAAGAGACTATTATTCCTCAAAGTCACTTAACATCACAATCAAAGTCCCTTATATCAAGAGACTATTATTCCTCAATGTCACTTAACAATAACATCACAATCAAAGTCCCTTATATCAAGAGACTATTATTTCTCAAAGTCAATTAACATCCCAATCAAAGTTCCTTAAATCAAGAGACTATAATGTCTCAATGTCACTTAACATCCCAAATCCCAATCAAAGTCCCTTGACCTTATATCAAGAGACTATAATTCCTCAAAGTCACTTGATATCTCAATCAAAGTCTCATATATCAAGAGACTATTATTCCTCAACGTCACTTAACATCCCAATCAAAATCCCTTATATCAAGAGACTATTATTCCTCAAAGTCACTTAACATCCCAATCAAAGTCCCTTATATCAAGAGACTATTATTCCTCAACGTCACTTAACATCCCAATCAAAATCCCTTATATCAAGAGACTATTATTCCTCAAAGTCATTTAACATTCCAATCAAAATCCCTTATATCAAGAGACTATTATTCCTCAAAGTCACTTAATTTCCCAATCAAAGTTCCTTATATCAAGAGACTATTATTCCTCAAAGTCACTTAACATCCCAATCAAAGTCCCTTATATCAAGAGACTATTATTCCTCAATGTCACCTAACATCACAATCAAAGTCCCTTATATCAAGAGAATATTATTCCTCAATGTCACTTAACAATAACATCACAATCAAAGTCCCTTATATCAAGAGACTATTATTTCTCAAAGTCAATTAACATCCCAATCAAAGTTCCTTAAATCAAGAGACTATTATTCCTCAATGTCACTTAACATCACAATCAAAGTCCCTTATATCAAGAGACTATTATTCCTCAACGTCACTTAACATCCCAATCAAAGTCCCTTATATCAAGAGACTATTACTCCTCAACGTCACTTAACATCCCAATCAAAATCCCTTATATCAAGAGACTTTTATTCCTCAAAGTCACTTAACGTCCCAATCAAAGTTCCTTATGTCAGGAGACTATTATTCCTCAACGTCACTTAACATCCCAATCAAAATCCCTTATATCAAGAGACTATTATTCCTCAAAGTCATTTAACATCCCAATCAAAATCCCTTATATCAAGAGACTATTATTCCTCAACGTCACTTAACATCCCAATCAAAATCCCTTATATCAAGAGACTATTATTCCTCAAAGTCACTTAACGTCCCAATCAAAATCCCTTATATCAAGAGACTATTATTCCTCAAAGTCATTTAACATCCCAATCAAAATCCCTTATATCAAGAGACTATTATTCCTCAAAGTCATTTAACATCCCAATCAAAATCCCTTATATCAAGAGACTATTATTCCTCAACGTCATTTAACATCCCAATCAAAATCCCTTATATCAAGAGACTATTATTCCTCAAAGTCATTTAACATCCCAATCAAAATCCCTTATATCAAGAGACTATTATTCCTCAAAGTCATTTAACATCCCAATCAAAATCCCTTATATCAAGAGACTATTATTCCTCAACGTCACTTAACATCCCAATCAAAGCCCCTTATATTAAGAGACTATTATTCCTCAAAGTCACTTAATATCCCAATCAAAGTTCCTTATATCAAGAGACTATTATTCCTCAAAGTCACTTAACATCCCAATCAAAGTCCCTTATATCAAGAGACTATTATTCCTCAAAGTCACTTAACATCCCAATCAAAGCCCCTTTTATCAAGAGACTATTATTCCTCAAAGTCACTTAACATCCCAATCAAAATCCCTTATATCAAGAGACTTTTATTCCTCAAAGTCACTTAACGTCCCAATCAAAGTTCCTTATATCAAGAGACTATTATTCCTCAAAGTCACTTAACATCCCAATCAACATCCCTTATATCAAGAGACTATTATTCCTCAAAGTCACTTAACATCCCAATCAAAGCCCCTTTTATCAAGAGACTATTATTCCTCAAAGTCACTTAACATCCCAATCAACATCCCTTATATCAAGAGACTATTATTCCTCAAAGTCACTTAACATCCCAATCAAAGCCCCTTATATCAAGAGACTATTATTCCTCAAAGTCACTTAATATCCCAATCAAAGTTCCTAATATCAAGAGACTATAATTCCTCAAAGTCACTTAATATCTCAATCAAAGTCTCATATATCAAGAGACTATTATTCCTCAACGTCACTTAACATCCCAATCAAAGTCCCTTATATTAAGAGACTATTATTCCTCAAAGTCACTTAATATCCCAATCAAAGTTCCTTATATCAAGAGACTATTATTCCTCAAAGTCATTTAACATTCCAATCAAAGTCCCTTATATCAAGAGACTATAATTCCTCAAAGTCACTTAATATCTCAATCAAAGTCTCATATATCAAGAGACTATTATTCCTCGAAGTCACTTAACATCCCAATCAAAGCCCCTTTTATCAAGAGACTATTATTCCTCAAAGTCACTTAACATCCCAATCAAAATCCCTTATATCAAGAGACTATTATTCCTCAAAGTCACTTAACATCCCAATCAAAGTTCCTTATATCAAGAGACTATTATTCCTCAAAGTCACTTAACATCCCAATCAACATCCCTTATATCAAGAGACTATTATTCCTCAAAGTCACTTAACATCCCAATCAAAGCCCCTTATATCAAGAGACTATTATTCCTCAAAGTCACTTAATATCCCAATCAAAGTTCCTAATATCAAGAGACTATAATTCCTCAAAGTCACTTAATATCTCAATCAAAGTCTCATATATCAAGAGACTATTATTCCTCAACGTCACTTAACATCCCAATCAAAGTCCCTTATATTAAGAGACTATTATTCCTCAAAGTCACTTAATATCCCAATCAAAGTTCCTTATATCAAGAGACTATTATTCCTCAAAGTCACTTAACATCCCAATCAAAGTCCCTTATATCAAGAGACTATAATTCCTCAAAGTCACTTAATATCTCAATCAAAGTCTCTTATATCAAGAGACTATTATTCCTCAACGTCACTTAACATCTCAATCAAAGGTCCTTATATCAAGAGACTATTATTCCTCAAAGTCACTTAACATCCCAATCAAAGCCCCTTTTATCAAGAGACTATTATTCCTCAAAGTCACTTAACATCCCAATCAAAATCCCTTATATCAAGAGACTTTTATTCCTCAAAGTCACTTAACGTCCCAATCAAAGTTCCTTATATCAAGAGACTATTATTCCTCAAAGTCACTTAACATCCCAATCAACATCCCTTATATCAAGAGACTATTATTCCTCAAAGTCACTTAACATCCCAATCAAAGCCCCTTTTATCAAGAGACTATTATTCCTCAACGTCACTTAACATCTCAATCAAAGGTCCTTATATCAAGAGACTATTATTCCTCGAAGTCACTTAACATCCCAATCAAAGCCCCTTTTATCAAGAGACTATTATTCCTCAAAGTCACTTAACATCCCAATCAAAATCCCTTATATCAAGAGACTTTTATTCCTCAAAGTCACTTAACGTCCCAATCAAAGTTCCTTATATCAAGAGACTATTATTCCTCAAAGTCACTTAACATCCCAATCAACATCCCTTATATCAAGAGACTATTATTCCTCAAAGTCACTTAACATCCCAATCAAAGCCCCTTTTATCAAGAGACTATTATTCCTCAACGTCACTTAACATCCCAATCAAAATCCCTTATATCAAGAGACTATTATTCCTCAAAGTCATTTAACATCCCAATCAAAATCCCTTATATCAAGAGACTATTATTCCTCAACGTCACTTAACATCCCAATCAAAATCCCTTATATCAAGAGACTATTACTCCTCAACGTCACTTAACATCCCAATCAAAGCCCCTTTTATCAAGAGACTTTTATTCCTCAAAGTCACTTAACGTCCCAATCAAAGCCCCTTTTATCAAGAGACTTTTATTCCTCAAAGTCACTTAACGTCCCAATCAAAGTTCCTTATATCAAGAGACTATTATTCCTCAAAGTCACTTAACATCCCAATCAAAATCCCTTATATCAAGAGACTATTATTCCTCAACGTCACTTAACATCCCAATCAAAATCCCTTATATCAAGAGACTATTACTCCTCAACGTCACTTAACATCCCAATCAAAATCCCTTTTATCAAGAGACTATTATTCCTCAACGTCACTTAACATCCCAATCAAAATCCCTTATATCAAGAGACTATTATTCCTCAAAGTCATTTAACATCCCAATCAAAATCCCTTATATCAAGAGACTATTATTCCTCAACGTCACTTAACATCCCAATCAAAATCCCTTTTATCAAGAGACTATTATTCCTCAACGTCACTTAACATCCCAATCAAAATCCCTTATATCAAGAGACTATTATTCCTCAAAGTCACTTAACATCCCAATCAAAGTCCCTTATATCAAGAGACTATTATTCCTCAACGTCACTTAACATCCCAATCAAAATCCCTTATATCAAGAGACTATTATTCCTCAAAGTCACTTAATATCCCAATCAAAGTCCCTTATATCAAGAGACTATTATTCCTCAACGTCACTTAACATCCCAATCAAAGTCTCATATATCAAGAGACTATTATTCCTCAAAGTCACTAGACATCCCAATCAAAAGTCCCTTATATCAAGAGACTATTATTCCTCAACGTCACTTAACATCCCAATCAAAGTCCCTTATATCAAGAGACTATTATTCCTCAAAGTCACTTAACATCCCAATCAAAGTCCCTTATATCAAGAGACTATTATTCCTCAAAGTCACTTAACATCCCAATCAAAGTCCCTTATATCAAGAGACTATTATTCCTCAACGTCACTTAACATCCCAATCAAAGTCCCTTATATCAAGAGACTATTATTCCTCAACGTCACTTAACATCCCAATCAAAGTTCCTTATATCAAGAGACTATTATTCCTCAACGTCACTTAACATCCCAATCAAAGTCCTTATATCAAGAGACTATTATTCCTCAACGTCACTTAACATCCCAATCAAAGTCCCTTATATCAAGAGACTATTATTCCTCAAAGTCACTTAACATCCCAATCAAAGTCCCTTATATCAAGAGACTATTATTCCTTAACGTCACTTAACATCCCAATCAAAGTCCCTTATATCAAGAAACTATTATTCCTCAAAGTCACTTAACATCCCAATCAAAATCCCTTATATCAAGAGACTATTATTCCTCAAAGTCACTTAACATCCCAATCAAAGTCCCTTATATCAAGAGACTATTATTCCTCAACGTCACTTAACATCCCAATCAAAGTCCCTTATATCAAGAGACTATTATTCCTCAAAGTCACTTAACATCCCAATCAAAGTCCCTTATATCAAGAGACTATTATTCCTCAACGTCACTTAACATCCCAATCAAAGTCTCATATATCAAGAGACTATTACTCCTCAAAGTCATTTAACATCCCAATCAAAATCCCTTATATCAAGAGACTATTATTCCTCAACGTCACTTAACATCCCAATCAAAGTCCCTTATATCAAGAGACTATTATTCCTCAAAGTCACTTAACGTCCCAATCAAACTTCCTTATATCAAGAGACTATCATTCCTCAAAGTCACTTAACATCCCAATCAAAATCTCTTATATCAAGAGACTATTGCTCCTCAAAGTCACTTTACATCCCAATCAAAGCCCCTTTTATCAAGAGACTTTTATTCCTCAAAGTCACTTAACGTCCCAATCAAAGTTCCTTATATCAAGAGACTATTATTCCTCAAAGTCACTTAACATCCCAATCAAAATCACCTTTATCAGGTAACTTAATATCAAAGTCACCTTTGATAAATAAAAAGCTTATATTACTGAAAGTCACTTGATTTCATAATCAAGTTACCTTTATTAAGTACCTTGTATTCTTCAAAGTCACTTAATCTCACGATCAAGTCGTATTCCTCATATTAATTATTCAGAAGAAATTGTTCGCTCATTTCACTCAGAGATAATAGTTACTCCCACAAGAATGGTAGGAAATTATGCACATAATGTGCTCAGAAAGTAAATGTAGTATGTCATGAGTGAACAGTCCCTTAGACTCATATATCCAAATAATGTGATCATATCAAGCTACTAAGATGGACGAAAACATTGTGCCTTTTCATCAGAGTAACTTAACATATTATAACTCAACTCTATATCGAGTATCAAACTTTAAATAATATTCTTCTTGCCGTGTTTTACAGGTCCTCTTCTTGGTGTCAATATCAGGGGTCGTTTATCTTCTCTTCGGTTTACATTTCTTCTATCTTCATCTGCATACAGTTGGTGTTTGAGAGGTGCGTGTGAAGCAGACTTTCACAATTGTGGGGTTTGTGTTGTGGCACTTCTCTTTTTTCAGCGAGCTAGTTCAGGGCAGGTTGAGGTTTGCACTTTACTACGTACTACGTAGGTTACGATATTACCCTTGACATTTTTTAAGCCTTTTGTGCAGTTTCTTCTTTTCCGAAGTTAGCTCCTGATTCTCCTCGGTGAGATACTGATTCTCCGTGGTCATGTCATCGATCAGGAATTTGTACTCCTCCTGCATAAGACAAAATCCAGACCGTGCTTCGGTGAGTTGTTTGTTGAGGCTGCCATTGTCCGCGGACAGTTCTTCCTTGTCCATGGTTAGATTCTTGACCACGTATTTATAGCCGGCACAGTAAGATTCTAAAGAGGCGAAATTGTTTTTGAGTTCAGTATTGTCCCCGGAAAGCTTTATATTTTCAACGGTTAGGTTCTGAACCATATCTTTGTAGCCGGCCTCCATGGCACTAAAACCAGACCGTTCCTCGACAAGTTGTTTGTTGAGGTTTTCAGTTTCCGCGGACAGCTTTTCGTTTGCCATGGTTAGATTCTGAACCACATCTTTGTAGCCAACCTCCAATTCCATGGCACAAAAACCAGACCGTTCCTCGACAAGTTGTTTGTTGAGGTTTTCAGTTTCCGCGGACAGCTTTTCGTTTGCCATGGTTAGATTCTGAACCACATCTTTGTAGCCAACCTCCAATTCCATGGCACAAAAACCAGACCGTTCCTCGACAAGTTGTTTGTTGAGGTTTTCAGTTTCCGCGGACAGTTTTTCCTTTGCCATGGTTAGATTCTGAACCATATTTTGGTAGTTGACACAGTAAGTCTCAAAAGCGACGAGTTTGTTGGTGAGTCCTTTATTGTCACCGGACAGCTTTATCTTTTCAACGGTTAGGTTCTGAACCATATCTTTGTAGTCGAGAAGTCGTTCTTTCAGGTTTTCATTTTCGGTGGTTATGTTCTGGAACACTTTTGCGTTGTGATCCTCGGTTTCACAAAGTTCAGACTGCATCTCGAGAAGGCCGTCTTTCAATTTCTTATTCAAATCACGCAGCACTGTAATATCTTTTTCGTATGCTTGGTTGGTTTCTGAAGTAACGCGGCTAGGTAACAAAACTGTGCAACAATAAACAAAAAAATTTTACCAACCTTGTGTAAATTTTGTAAAATAATTAGCTGACCAAATATACTATTTTAATTTTTGGTTGTTGATATGTGATAAGTTTTCGATAATATTTAAAATAATATTTAAAATTTGAAACTGCACTTCAAATAAAACAGCAATTAAACAGTTAATCGAGAAAGGGACTTACTGAATAAACCATTAACTCGCTGAACCAAACGAAATCTATCCTGCTCAACTTCCTGCAGTCTCTCGTACAAGTCATGTTCCTGAGCTCTGGCGATGTAAATTTCCTCTTGTGAAAGTCGAAGATAGTATTTTAACTGTTCAACCTCTTCTTCTGCGTTGCACAAGGAAATCATCATGTCAACTTCGCGTTCAACGTCATCAGTATTAATAAATTCAGGTTCAGGTTTGACTGGTTTACACTGGTTCTATGAAGGAAATAAATATTATCATTAAACATTTAAACTACATTAAATTCCATTTTGGTTTGTCCTTGTGCCTTGGAATTAGATTTGTTTTTAATTATTGAAATTCGTTCGATAAAGTTGCTGCATCATTTTTGAATTTTTGTTTTGATTACAAGCCTAATTTTTAATTTTTAATTTGTAATTTTGAAGTTTTATAAAATTGTAATGTATATTGCAGTGTCATTATATTACTTAGTGCGCATATTAATTTTCAATCTTACTATATATAAAGCGGGACGATATATGTTTATCCGTGCCATTTTACTTTGTATCACGTTGCGACCCCCACGGTCGTTTCACTAGGTGGACGATACAGGGGGAGCCGCGCACTTCGTGCGCGGCGGGTCATACAACGTATGACAAATTTTACTGACACCACGGCATCAACTTTAACGCGACTTTCCGCAAAAAACCGTAAAAGATACACAACTGAAATTTTTTTGACTGGGTCAATGTTTTAATGGCCTCCAAATTAGCATGAAAAAATAAAAAATTGGCCAAAGAATAAGAATTTTACTTTTAGAGCCCAAAATTTGGACCCCCAAGTGATGTCAAAAACGCTAATTAAATAGGTAATATAATAATTATTTTTTTCACTTGAATCTTGCATTGACACCATTTAAGGGTAATATACGGGTTCCTGCTAATTTCTTTTTATATAAGTACGATAAACATATTTTAATTCATAATTGCAAATTACGGCCATGGGCCATAATTTTTTCCATTCAAATTATTATTAATATTATTGCTACAAAATATTTAATCAAAAACTATTATGTATTAGTGTAAAAGTATATTAAAATTTTGGTTTTTATGTAACGAAATACATTTGAATTGTATTTCATGTCATACAAGCAAAGAAAACTGCCATTGCCAACTGCCATTGCACATTGCCAATGCCAACTAACGCGCGCCGCGCGATGTTTGATATTCTGGACAAAATTAGACATTCATTCAAAAACGAAAAGTTTTATTAAGGAGCACGTTAGATCCCCTAAAGTTGTTACTATGCGTAACTATGCGCCTAGGTGACTGGTTTGATCCGGTTTGATCCGGTTTGGTAGCTGTAACCCAGTTTACTGGGCCGCGCTCAGCCTGTCATTCCGCCTAATCTCTATTTTATGTTTGTAAACATAATAGCCTGAGGTCCCCAGGTAATAACCCAGTATACCAAAGGATCGTGATTCGGTCTTACTGGGCGATGCTCAGCGGGTCAGCACTCAGCACTCAGCATGTCATTCCGCCAAATCTCTATTTTATGATTATGAACATAAATATAATAGCCTGAGGTTCCCAGGTAAGATTCGGTCAAAAATTCAAACCAAGTCGACCCAGATTTCAAAATTCTTTCCAACCGCTACATATTCAAAAAACATTCAAGCTATTTTGTTGACTGCAACAAAGTATGAATAAAATCTCAAAATTTTGATGATCGTCTATAAATTGAAAAGAAATAATGTTTCCAATTTGACGAATAGCAACCTTAGTGACTTTTTCTTAACGGGTGATACTCGTAAAATATTTGTTTCAAGACCGTACCGACGAGTCCTGAGTCCAACTCTAAACTCGGCGCACGTTTTGGTAGGTTATAAACCTACAACTTTTTTCATGATTTCATTTATAAAGTTTTGACTTGAATATTATGCACTGGCCGCCTCATTTGGCTTATACAATTACAGAAACATGATGAACAAAATATAATAAGAATATGATAATTGTATTGAAAATGAAATGAAGTTTTGAACTAAAATGTTTACTTTGATGTTAGTCTCAGAGTCAATCCCAGAATCATCTGGATTAGGAACAATCGGAATCGGCTGCAACTTTTCTTTAATGATTCCGTGCTCAAAATCAAATTGTTCGGTTGGTTCGCTTATAGAAGAGGTCATATAAGCTTGGTCATCGGCTTTGTGGCATATCCTTTGTTCGGGTACGTAACTTACATCACAATTAACAAGAGTGGCCTGAAAACCCATTAATTATCATTTGAACTTTAAAAGTAGAACTTATGATTTTATTAAAACCATGAAAATAACTGGAAATTAAAGTATCTGACCTATAAATCTCTGTTAATAAACAAATTGTTCCTATGCACTGATGCACATCACGACTAGCTATTTAATGCTTGACCCTTCACAATTTGAATCCAAAACTGTTTACATATGACATGATTTCTTAGACGGTAAAATAAAACCGGTTTATCTTTCACATTTCATTTTCACAAGGTCCTACCTCAGAATCGCTCGAATCCATTAGGTCCGTATCATTTTCAACAGTAGTCCGAGTTTTAATGTTCAACAACTCTTCCTCTACTTTTAAAAGTTTCTCTTGGAGAATTTTATTCTTTTCTATCTCCTTTTGTTTCTCTTCCCATTCATTGTAGGTCTTCACCTGCTCATGGTAGAGGTTGACCTGTTCTTGGTAGGTCTTCTGCTGTTCTACGGCAACCATCTCATTCAATTTACATATTTCTGACTTGAGACTAGCGTTTTCAGCATCTTTGTTCCACATTTCTTGTTCGAGGTGTTCAACTCTTTCCCCCAGGAGACGGCTCTTTGTCATCTCATCTTCAAGCAGCTTGTTTGATTCCTCTTCTTTTGCAAGAGTAGGAAATGCTGGGTTCAATGTTTTCTGGTCCTCTTCCAGAAACTCTGCTTGCTGTAAAGAATTTGTTAGTATTAGTTATACTGATATATTATCTTGATCAGCTGAGATACCTTTTTCTGAATGAAAAGCTCGAAAACAGTGTGATCTTTTTAATGATTATTAATTGCAGATTTATTTTAAAGTTTTAAATATAACATTCATCGAAAGCGCATAGCTTCGAATTTAAACAGCAAACAAACCGTGGACCAAGATTCCTGAATTTGCTGAATTTCTGTTCGATTTTGAAGCGGTGTTACTGATTGAGTCTTTCTGACAAGTTTCTGATTTTCAACCTTTTTCTTGCTTGTCAGATATGAATCCTGTAAGATTGTTAATAAGTCAAACATTTACTTCTACGTTTGCATTATCCTATATGAGACTAAAACCGACAGGAACAACGGAAAAGTAAAAGTTATGGCAAGTGAGGAGAAATTGGATGAACGAATACATAATTGCAGGACGCAACGTAGTATGTATGATGTAAAAAAGTTTACTAATACAGCTCTTCATAACAATTAATCAGAAAAACCGGCCTTAACAAATCGATTAACAGCATAAATGTCTTTGTGGTTTTTAAACAAAAAAATCATTCCAAGCATCACGGCCCAAAAAACTAATAGTGAAGGTTGATGTCCAAAAAAAATTGAAAAGGCCGTAAAGGCTTTAAACTTTTAAATTTTACTTACAATATCACTAAATGCTTGTGTACTGTAAGTCTGACCCATAGTAACTTTAATGTCAGACAACTGTAGATAATCTTTTAACTTTGTGTTTTCCTGAATTTTCCAAACGAAACGATAGGGCGGACGGACTATAAGCGAATGTATTAAAAACGAATAAAGAACTGAGGTCTAACGTGTGAGGGAAGCTTTTTATGGCGCCCTGGTCTGTTGCCATGGAGAACGCGTGCGCGCGTGTTCTCATTGCATGTGACGAGATCACGTCCTGCGCTAATTTGGGCTTGATCGATCCTCGACGGTTACACTTATTTGTTATTAACCTCTGTCGTGATGTGAAAAAGTGTTGTTTTATCGAATTCATACAGGTTGGCCCAGAAGTAACTGCCCAGTGCCCTCACGCAACATTCACGTAATTCGTGTCAGAATTGCACCAAAATGCTAGAAATTATTATAGATATGGACCATCTTAGATTTTCTGAAAGTTTCGTAAAATTTTAGAGATTAAAGTAGATGTGGCACGACACTCCCTCTTTTTCACTGTTGTCTTCATACTATGATAATGCTTTGAGTTAGGAACTCACAATTTTCTAGACACGTTTGGTTCGATAATTGAACAATTTTCCCTCAGCTTTCATAACAGTTTCCAATTCTTGAACTAAAATAAACTCCTTTCTGGGAAAGCTGTTTGTCAGCTGTTAGCCTAAACGGCAAATGGTTTGGTTTAATCGGTTTAAAGTTAGAAAGCTGTTCCCTGGCTCAGTCTCACAAACTCATTCTGTTGGTATGAATTGAAACACAATCAATATTGACCTCCCCGCTCATATGACGCAAAGTTTCCGTTCATAAATAATTAACTAATTGGGGTAATTAAACATTACAAAATTTAAAAAACGATGCCTATGTCAGAGGGATTCATTAGAAATATAGAATCTATTACTCAATAGAAAAAGTCCCTAAATTCTCTCCTCAAAGGAGCAAAACATTTTAACACAAATATCCATTTCCATGAACTACAATTTGTAAACATTAGATTAAATATCAGATATCGGTAAATTTTAAATGATGCTCAAAAATTTATTCAACATTTAAATGAACGTGAAAAATATACTTTTTTAACTGTAAAACCGAAGCTTGAAAACATTTAGATACCTTAATTCCCAAAAATTTGGGCGACAAAAAATTTGAGCGGGCCTCTCGCCCAAATTTTTTGCTGACCAAATAAATTGCATAAATCTTTTCCGTCTGCCAAATTTTTTGCTAACCAAACTTTTGGCATTTAGCCTGTGGCCCTGAGATCTATAGAAAGATGGTTTTTTCTTCATATCCAAGTGAAATAATATTTGAAATTTTAGTTTTCTAATCTGTCATTCATGGCTTAACCAAGTGAAATGACAGATTTCACTAAAAATGAACGATTTTTAGTGGAAAATCGTTCATTTTTCGAAGAATTTGTGCCCAAATTTTTGGTCGCCCAAATGAGTTAAAATTTTCTGCCCAAATTTTTCGGGCTCAAATAAATTGTGCTCAATATAATGGCACACAAATTTTTGGGAACTAAGGTATACCGATTCTAATCAACTTTTTACTTTGCATTCGAGATAATTTTAACTTTTAAGTCTTTATCGATTCGTTCGTTCTACACTGTGTAATAAGAGGCATACTTAATAAATTAATATGAGGAGCATCATAATTGATAGAATAGATTTCGCAGATAGTCTAACGGTTTTTATACAACGTCACAATATTTATATATGTTAGTGTTGAAATGTTTACTGTTTTTGATAGTTCCGATCGCCTACCGTCTTTGGCTGGGTTAATGAGATTTGTGTCTGTTCCTAGTTTCCTTCTGAGATGGCTGGGATAGTGAGATTTGTTCCTAGTTTCCTTCTGAGATGGCTGGGATAGTGAGATTTGTTCCTAGTTTCCTTCTGAGATGGCTGGGATAGTGAGATCTGTTCCTAGTTTCCTTCTGAGATGGCTGGGATAGTGAGATTTGTTCCTAGTTTCTTTCTGAGATGGCTGGGATAGTGAGATTTGTTCCTAGTTTCCCTCTGAGATGGCTGGGATAGTGAGATTTGTTCCTAGTTTCCTTCTGAGATGGCTGGGATAGTGAGATCTGTTCCTAGTTTCCTTCTGAGATGGCTGGGATAGTGAGATTTGTTCCTAGTTTCCTTCTGAGATGGCTGGGATAGTGAGATTTGTTCCTAGTTTCCTTCTGAGATGGCTGGGATAGTGAGATTTGTTCCTAGTTTCCCTCTGAGATGGCTGGGATAGTGAGATTTGTTCCTAGTTTCCTTCTGAGATGGCTGGGATAGTGAGATTTGTTCCTAGTTTCCTTCTGAGATGGCTGGGATAGTGAGATTTGTTCCTGGTTTCCCTAGGAGATGGCTGGGATAGTGAGATTTGTTCCTAGTTTCCTTCTGAGATGGCTGGGATAGTGAGATTTGTTCCTGGTTTCCCTAGGAGATGGCTGGGATAGTGAGATTTGTGTCTGTTCATAGTTTCAGATATTATTGTATCCTGCAGAGGCTCTGAAAAATTCAAATTCAAGTCGTATATTTTTAACGGTAGAGTAAAATATTAAATCCCGGGTTCAATGAAACATGTTAAAACATACACAATGGAATTCATGATATATACTTATATCAGACATAGGAGTTCACTTTCCCTTACGTCATTATGTTTCAAAACTCACTTAGATTGAATGAATCTTTTTCTTTTAAAGCTGAGGCTGATTAGTGAGATAAGGATTTGGATGGTCTGATTGTTGGAACTCTGTCTTGGCTCTCAAACAGCTGCTCTGAGGCAAAGGTTGAAATATTAAGTCACTATCTTGGTACTTACATAATACATACTTTTGTAGCAAAATCACTTAAATCTCAAAATGTTGCGAGAAACGCGAACGGCCATTAAATAGTTTTTTTTCTTGGGTATTTTAATACTTTCAACTATATAACGAATACTTCCAATCCGGATTTTACATTAAATAGTTTATTTGGTTAATAACTCATTACTCACCTACTTCAAGGTTTCAATTTGTTTAGTTGGTTTACTTTACGAGTTTGTTACTGTTACTCAAACATTTTATCGTCGTCCGCCCCTTAACATTTTACTGGTCTGAATTCTGAAATAATCAGTTATCACTACCAATACTATTTATAAGAAAAGATTTGCAGTGATTTTTGTATTGTTTTTCTTTCGATGTTTTGTTGTTACATACAATTATCAAGATAATGATCAGATATATCTGTAAAGTGCAAACTTACGTTAAAACCGTGTCGGTACTCGAAAAGATAGAGCTGTTTTCCCGCGGTTCAGTTTGGGTACCGTTCACTACTGACTTCAACCGTAAAACTAAAAGGAGAAGTTATCATTGTGGATCATATATTTACATATTATCATAATACAGTAAAGTAACAGAAATATCAGGCCAGATGAAATTTACAATTATTGTACTAGAAGTATGAGTACGACTCATTAGCTAAAACATAAAATGAAAATTGAAGGTTCATTTGAATGACCTGATCACGGAGAAGATATGGAAATGGTTCATCTATAATGAATTATCTCAATTCATCTTGCCTGCCGACCTTGCTGCTCTGAAAATGATGAATCATGATACTTAGGATTCTCTATAACAAATGAGATATTAGGTGATCATGATCTGGCTAATCATTATCAAGTTAAATGTTTGATTGGATCCTGACGAATACAATTGTATAATTCTTTGTTGATCTTAGTCAAGTGTCGTTGTCTCATTTAGATTGTTTAAATATTTACCTTCCTGAGGTGTGTGTTACTTTCCACACACTGGTAAACTTTTTGTCCTTCGTCTCACGCGGTTATGTGCACATCAGTCGAAATGCACCGGTCAACATTTTTATGGAAACAAGCGTCCAACTTTTTTCTCCCGTTTTTAGTTCGTCCAGATAATAATATATTGATTTAAAAGTGATGAATAAATGAAAGATATTTTTTATCACAACTTTTTGTGGGAGAAAACTGTCTCCTCATTCGAATCGTTCTAATGGACAAATCGCTTTAAGGACAAACTAAAAATTCGACCGGTGCATTTCGACTGATGTGCACACATCCGTGTCTTGGTTCTTCGAGAAATTTCCTGGGGATTGGAAATTATTCATCACTACTAGATTGCTAGAATCTATGAATTTAAAAATTTGTTGTTTTAAAACAGAAACATCGTTTAAATTCGTGATCATTGAATAAGAGAGATTATTGCAAAGAAAGTTAAATCATAAAAGATTTCGAAATGATTGTCAGAACTCCCTGTGCAGTGGTTTCCTGTCTGCTGTCGTTCGCAGATTCAAAATCTTCAAAATTGACAAGTACGAGTAAAATTGTAACCACCAACTGCTCTGAAACATAAAGATATCGATTATTCAGTCAAGTTGTAAAAAGCCTATGCATATGGTGGTAAATTTAGTTTATGTTAGTACAGTATTTGAAGTACTTCTTATGATAGTAACAGTATGATAATAAGCATGAACATTTAATTTACGAAATAACATTAAATTGCATGGTCTAAAAAGATTGAGACTGAACCTTTGATAAATGAAATATTAACCTCATAGATGGAAGTAATTTAGGGCGATATCAAGGTAATTTCTTAGTGGTTCGTTGTTCTGACTGCTTCTGGATGTATGCACTATACAGGCCTCGTTTATCTGAAAGTATAACTTTAATAAGTCAATAATGCAACCACTAACATATTATCAACAGTAAAACCTTATTATAGTCAGACGTGAGATTTAATACTTAATACTGCACTATGTTATGTAAAATAAATGATTCGATATCCAGTTCAAAATCATAATTTGTTAATTCCAATCACGCGTTGTTATCTCACTTATTGAATAAACTGATGTATATACTGGACGTAAAATCTTGTTATTGCCTATGGTACCACTATGACCCCACTTTTTATAAGAGAAAAACCTGAAATACTTAATCCTAATCTATTGTGGAGGGGTAATCGTTCATCAGGTTGGTCTCTGCGCACTTTTGCCTGCTTCATTACAAAGTTCTACTTCTATACCTGAATTAAAGTTTTAACTACAAATATAAACCGAGGTTATCCTTAAAAGCTTAAAGCCTGCGAGATAGATATTGAAAGTGTTAGATAATAAAATAATAAAGCAGGTATGTATATGACACGTATACTTGTTGTATTTTAATTGATATCTGAGTTTACCTGGGGACCACAGGCTTTATTGTTTGTTTACGATCGAAGATATGGCGGAGTGACAGGCTGACTGCCGCCCAGTAAGGTTCGCGTTCGCAAAAGGAATATGCAACTTTTAGCCGGCGCGAACGCTTCGCTTGCGCAAGAGAGACATACAACACGTAACAAACAGATCCATGACAACTTACAAGAAGTATAGGGTTGCATAGAAGTATAAATAATGTTCATAATCAATATTATGGAATATAATAATTTAATATGAGACCATTCACATTAGAAATGCGGATGCATTTCTTCTTAGAAGTGTGTGTAATCCTTTTAAACCACATTAGTCGCTAAACACTTAAACAAGCGGCCTATTGATAATTGATGTGGTATCTCCTTGAAACTATCCTTGAAATTATCCTATTTTAGAATTTACCTAGGCTTAGACAAAAAGGTTCTTTAGAGTAAGTGAAGTCTGTCCTCACTGTGCAGGTCACTTCACTGCTCCCTCTTTCGAGAGCTCCAGCGTCAGAACAAGTTATTTTCACAACAGTTCCTGGGTCTACTGGAAACTTAGCTGCTGTCTCAATAGTACTTGTCCACTCAGCCTTCAGTCCAGTACATTCTTGATAATATAAATTAGTTCATATATTTTATATTCCTCCAACAGGGCTCGATTATATCGATTAAAAAGAAAAATTCAATAAATTAATACTGTTCACAAGTATGTAATATGTACATTGTACCGTGTACGTATTGCAATGAAAATGTAACTTAATAGCATCTTAAATATTTTAAATCTTCAAAATACACAGCTACCTGAGTGAGGTTGGTAGTAGTCAGATGCAGTGTCAGATAAACGGAACCGTATCTTTGCAACTTCTCTGCTCCAGTATATTCTCCAGGCACTGTAACTACACGTTGAGTCTGATATCAGGGTGTTGACCACCTCCACCTCGTTACAGTGAATCACTAGTCTGATACCTGAGGTTCTAGTTAAGGTTACCCTCCATACCTTCTTTGTAGCAGAAGGCAGGTTAGTGTGGAAGTCAGTGGAGTCCAAGCAGTTCGCGATATAGTACTGAGGATTAGAGTAGAAGCGGAGGACGAGTGCTCCTACTATGTCGTCCTGGCCCTGTGAGGTGAGCCCCACACTCACCTTATCGTTACTCCCTAGCGTACTATCAGTCTTTATTTCAAGAGAATACTTCTCCAGATTAAAGTCGATATCCACATCGCGTTGTACTGCTATCCAGCCTGAGGTTGTTACCACGTGAATATTTAATAACAGTTTACAGTACACATCAGCTGGTAGACATTATGAGCAAAATATTATCTAATAGTGCAAATTTATACTCGGTGACCAATGCAATGACAATTGCATTATATTTACTACTCTTATACGTCATGATAAATTGGTTCAATATATTAAGCTCATAATGACTAAATGACTACAATGTAATTTCAAAAATGTTATTGTGCTGTAACAGTGCTAAAAATGAAATATTTGTGAAAATATTTGATCGTAGTGATCTTACCTTCATTGAGATTCAAAGCAGTATTCTCAATGACGAGAAAGGACATCAGCAAGATTAACAGCATTGTTGTATACTATTGTTCTTGATTCACTAATAATACAACTATATTACAATAAGATAATACGTCGGAAACCTATGCTAAATACTACGCAAGAGTTTAAAAAGGGTCACATTTTGCAGTAAATAACGACGATAATCATTTTAAGAGCAATGTAACGGAATTGTTGTTTTTTGTTCATACTGCACTTAAGTCGGTTTTAATTATTTCAGCAACAATTTATAGAAAAAATTGAGAAAAACCAGTTCTAAACAAGCTCACATAATATCATGATATTAGGGTACAGTAATCCAACTGCATCATAATCTTACTATATATAAAGGCATTTTACTGACACCACGGCATCAACTTTAACACGGCTTTCCGCAAAAACCGTAAAAGATATACAACTTAAATTTTTTTGACTGATTCAAATGCTTTAATGGCCTTCAAAGCAGCATCAAAAATAGAAATAGGCCAAGGAATAAGAACTTTAGTTCCCAAAATTTGGACCTATGTGGTGTCAAACACGCGAATTAAATAGGTAATAATTATTTTAGTCTCTTGAGTCTTGAAACCATTTAAGGGTTGGATGGGTTAAAAGCGTTTTTTAAATTTGGTCATTTTAACACTTTTTATTCAAAAAGATTTAAAAAACCGTCAAAATGACTAAATTAAAAAATCACTTTTTAAGCGCCTTTTAAGCGATTTATAAAATTATAAACAGCTAAATTGCAATCAACTTATAAGCGCTATAATCGCTTATAAATGGTTCAATAAGCGCTTTAAAATCTTGACTCCGCTAGTGCACCCCAGGTGAATGGATGTTTTTCTAATTCTGGGCACTCCCCCGTTCCAACCAGGTTGAGGGGCATTGAGAAAGCACTTAAAAGCGCTTTCTATTTCCTATGGGGGGGGGGGGGTTTCCTCCCTCTTTTACAATGTAATATGCAAAATGAAAATAGTACATAAAATTACAATTTTAAGTTCGTTATAAACTAAAAGTTGCACTGTGCAGTATGAATTTGTATATATGACAAAGCTCTTTTAGTATAAAATAGCATCAAGAGAATATGTGCACCAAACACTGACCTTACATAATATGTGTTTAACTCTACAAAACTGCTTATAACACAAGCTCGGTATGTGATAATTTGCCTTCAAAATCAAACCTCGTTATAATGCAGACCTTGCTATAACGCGGTTTTTTGGGCTAAATTCTTTCCTCCCTCGATGCGTGTTATAACGAGGTAAGCTACTGTTATAATACTTATTCAAATTGAAATGTATCATTATTTTAATTTATCCTTTTCTTTTAGGGCTAACCAAAGCAAAGTCGTAATAATGATCACTGTCGTTTTCATGTTTTGGCTTCTGGTATATCTAATTTTCTTATGTATGTTATTTATTAGGACTGATAGAGCGATAAATCAAATATAACAACAAAAATATTTTTACCTTAAATATTTAATGTGACAAAAATATTTTATTAATGTTTGATTATCTCAGCGGACTTCGAAGACTTCGAAGACAAAACTATTTGACAGAATCTAAAAGATATTTATTCGACTGTATGGTCCCTGTATTTCTGTAACAACATCACTGCGTGGAATTGATTAGGGACATTGATTAGGGACACAGATTTGTGAAATATTAAAGCCTGTCTCTAAAAATATTATTTTCACGAGAAGTTCTTCCTTAAACAAAAACAATAATAATAAGAAGTTAGTATTAGTATTATTAATTAGTAAGAACTAATGATAAAGAGGAAGACTTTTATAACTATTTAAAGCTCCCTGACGCGATGCACAAGGCCAGGATGGCGTTGTAGACCCAATTTAAGTCTATGTGCAGCAGCCGGCATCAATTGAATAATTTGTACACAGGAGGTGACCGGGACATGATTTCAGGCCTGACCGGGACCGGGACCGGGATACAAAATGTGACTTGACCGGGACCGGGATCATAAATCAGCATTTGACCGGGACCGGGACCGGGACCGGGATGAAAAATGTGACTTGACCGGGACCGGGACCGGGATGGCTCAAAATTGCCAATCCCGGTACCGGGATTCCCGGTACCGGGAATTCCGGTCGATTGCTGGTTAATTCATGATCATAATTTATTACTCAAACTTGTTTAGCAATTTTAAACATTGTTTTATTTGGCTCAGAGGATGTTTAAAGATGAAATTCACAATGAATGAAAGGAAAAACTTAAAATCACAGTGAATGAAATTATGTAAAAGATCCCGGTCAAAATCCCGGCAAATTTGAGTGATTGACCGGGACCGGGACCGGGACCAAGAATCCTGAATTAACCGGGACCGGGATCATAAATCAGCATTTGACCGGGACCGGGACCGGACCGGGATAGCTCAAAATTGCCAATCCCGGTCACCTCCTGTTTGTACACTGTTCAGTGTTCAAAATAATACGAGAGCGTGCAAAAGAAAACCCTGACCCTAACCCTTAAATAGTGTACTGATCTACAAGAAAAGGACCGCGAGGTGATCTTTGTGTGTCACGTGTACCCATCGCCTTGCACCCGCCCATGACCCGATGCCTCTTTCGAGGTTCTCAGATTAGCTGAAAACTAATGCACGATTAAGCTCATGAGTTGGGGCAGCCTATTGGTTTGTGAGAGAATCAGGTCTCACCTGTAGCACTGTAGGTTTGAATATTCATTGTTACTAGAAAATTTGGGCCAGCCAAGTGGTCTGTGAAAGAATCAGGCCCATCTCCTTATAGTACAGCAGATTTGAATATATGAATATTGAATATTAATTGTTTCCAGAAAACCAGGCCGGAGAGGGCGGCGCTCAGAATCTCTATTCTAACATAATAGCCTGGGGTCCTCAGGTAATGTGGTGTTAGGAAATAGTGTACTGAGATGTTTTACAAAGATTCACAGAATATGGTTTTTGTGAAGACGATAAATTCCCCAAAATATATGGATCCGTGCCATTTTACTGACACCATACACGGCATCAACTTTAACCCGACTTTCCGCAAAAACCGTAGAAGATATATACATCTTTTTGACTGGGTCAAATGCTTTAATGGCCTTCAAATCAGCATGAAAAATAAAAAATTGGCCAAGGAATAAGAATTTTAGTGCCCAAAATTTGTACTCCCAAGTGGTGTCAAAAACGCGAATTAAATAGGTAATAATTATTTAAGTCTTTTGTGTCTTGACATCATTTTAGGGTTAGACAGGTTCCTGCTAGTAACATAATAAAGGCGAGGGATCGTGAATGGTGGAGATAAAGATCATTTAAAGATTCAATGATATCAGGCTCACAAAATACTTACAGCCCAACAGGCAACATACCTACAATAATGATCCCACTCGTGAATTTTGAAATTCTGACTCGACTGAATTTTATTACCGCGGTTTTATCATCTTCAAAAAACCATATTCTGTGAATCTGTATAACCTTATAACGTTAACTAGTTAACTGGACAAAGGAACACACAGTA